GGGAGGGAGGACTCTCAGAGTGTTGAGTGATTTCCCCACTCTGGTCATCTTGAGTAATCACAGCCATCCTGAGGAAGATGGCAGTTGCTGCACCTGGTGGGCACAGGCAGCTCAAGACTAGGTCAGAGGATGTCAGAGGAGCCTAGCTAAGTGCTGGGGACAGCACACCATGACAGGGACTGCCCTCAGCAGGCCAGGGTGGAGACCTCTCAGTAGCCTGCAGGAGCTCTTTGTAAAAAACAGTTGTTCCCATTTCTCCTAACCTTAGCCCTGGACAATGCTGTATAGATTTCATTTGTGTGTGACTGCTTGCTTTTCAGTTAGGTTTGGTATACAGAATTATTCTATTATATCTGACTTTCCTACTCCCTTCTCCTGCTCTGGGGAATTCTATGAAACTAGATGTTCCTTGATTTAATGATTCTTAAACAATTAAATTGAGGCCTAGGGCACAGCAAAGCACAGTCCTAATGGCCCAGGTGCATGCTGTGTGTTCTCATCTTGGAAACAATGCAATAACTGCACAATGGTGGTTCCAGATTAATGCTTGCCTTGCAAAGAAAGTCTGAAGAAATTATTAGAAAATGAAACAGAGCCAACACTGGGACCCTGAGAAAGGAAAAAAACTATTGAAGTTATGCAATAAGTTTTGCACAGCATTTGGGAGTGGTTCCTGGATAAGCAAGTATCGAATGCATACAATTATATACGAGTAAAACTAAGTCAAAACACTGGGACTCTTAGGAGAGTCATTGTGAGCAATGTGCAGAAGCAGAAAGCTAGCGGAACTGCTGAGTTAAGGGTTAACCTGACTCTGTCTGGCCACCGCCTGGCAGCTTTGCCCATGTCATCTATCATTAGAGCTTCACAGGACAATGCAAGTAGCTCACCCCAGGGCTCTGAGCTCTGAAGTATAATAAGTTAAAAGTTAAAGTTTAAATAATTATAAGTTTATAATTATTATTATTTTGGCCACAGGCCTGGGAATAGGAAGAGCTTGAAACTTTGGGGAACAACTGTAATTCTTGATTCTTTGTGGGATGTGGTCATTCTTTTGAATTTGGTTTGGCAGTGATTATATGATGTCTTTTTTTGTACCTGCTTTGGAATATCAGTAAAAGACTGGGGCAAGGGGCTGGTGAGATGGCTCAGTGGTTAAGAGCACTGACTGCACTTCCAGAGGTCACAAGTTCAAATCCCAGCAACCACATGGTGGCTCACAACCATCTGCAATGATATCTGATGCCCTCTTGTGGGGTGTCTGAAGACAGCTACAGTATACTTACATATAATAAACAAACAAAAATTAAAAAAAAAAAAGGAAAAAGGGAAAGAAAAGCTTTGCACTGTCTTCCCCTTAAAAAAAAAAAAAAAGACTGGGGCAAGAAAAAGGCAAGAGAGTGAGGTACAGATGAGGTGAGTGTAGAGTAAATGGTGAGGAGAGTGAGGAGAGTGTGGAGTGTGTGTGTGTGTGTGTGTGTGTGTGTGTGTGTAAGAGAATGTGAGGTGTGATTGTGGAGTGTGTGTGTAAGCAGAAAAAACACACAGAGTGAGTGTGTGAGTGTTGGAAAGGGAGTGAATGAGAGAGCACAGGCCCCAGCCTAAAGAGAGAGCAAAAGTACATACAGCTTCAAGCTCGGGGGGGGGGGGGCTTTAAGCCTTCAAAAATGTATCTGTTAGCTTGTACCCTGTATGTGTTTATTATGCACCTTCCAGCTATCCCTGCAGTTGAGAACTCTGATCCTGTGTCGAGCCTGGACAGCTAAGCTTTGTAGTCAGTCAACAAGGACACTCAGGGGTGCCACTTAGCCACCCTGGATACCAGGGATCTGCTTGCCTCTACCTGGGCTGCCAGGCCCCACCTTGGCTGCTGTGGCGCCAGCCACCAAATCTGATCTTGCTCCCAAGCAAAAACTATTTGTTCTCCCTGGTCATCTTCCCAGCTGCCCCGAAACCACTCGGGATCACTTTTCCGAGCACTTTCAGGTAACTAGAGGCCTCCCGTGACCTGTGCTTACCCTTAAATCAGGAGGAACCAGTCTGTCCTAAAGCATGCACCATGACCAGAACCTTCAATACTGGTGGCTGGGGAAGGGCTCTAGGCCGGTGTTGGGGTCCCACAGGGCCTGCCTGGGACACACAGCTCTGCATGGCTACAGCCAGGGATCCATACATAGTATATGGCCAACCCCATCAAGTCTGTAGGGAAACCTGCAGCCCACTGCATGCCCATAGTAAGCAGTGCTTTAACTGTGCATGTTTCCCCATCTTAGTAATAAGATGTCCTCTGTTCATGTAGCCAGAGGCTCTACATCACTTTTTTTTTTTCTGTTTGAGTCTCATGTAGCCCAGGCTGGCCTCAAACTCACTATATACCCAACTGTGACTTTGAATTCCTGCCTGATTCTGCCTCAGCCTCTCAAGGGCTGGATGATAGCTTATACTGCCCAGTCTGTGAACACACAGCAATCCTGCTCCTGCGATCACAAATCTGTAGTACCATGCCTGGTCAGCACAGGCTACTTTGCTCAGGCAGGGTCTCACTATGTAACCTAGGGTGGGCTAGAACTTGCAGAGATCCTCCTTCCTTGGCCAACTAGCTGCAGACTCTCCCTGATGGTTCTGTGAGGTGAGCCTATGTGAGAGGCACGGAGGGTGACTTAGCCGGGCATGGTGGGCATACCAGCACCCAGAGGTGGAGGCAGGAGGATCAGAATGTCAAGTTATCTTCAGCTTCATAGCTGGTTGCAGTGCAGTCTGAGCTATGTAAGATCTCATCAAACAAACAAACAAGAAGGGGGTTAGGTTTCAGTCGTGACTGTTGGAGGAGGGAGCCACATTCTGCCACACCCAGATCAACTGTCTGCCTGAAGGCTTGGCTCTGACCTGACCTTGGCCTGGACAATCCCAAGATGGAGGCTGAGATAAAGCTTTCTGCCCCAGTGCGGTGCCTACAGGGAGGCTTTGTCTTTGCCATCTGACAGCTCTCAGTCTCTTGACAGAGCCTTGGGGAATTCCAGGGCTCAATTCATGGTCTCAAGAGGAGAAGAGGGGACCAGAGGAGGGAGAGGCAGGTGAGGGCCCAGGGTGCAGCAGTTACAAAGATCCTGGGGCACGGGAGTGGGGGCAACAGGAATCCAGGCCGCCCTCGGCTACACAGAATGTTCAAGAACAGATGGGCTACATGAGACAAACAAGGAGATGGGGAGAGAGAGAGAGAGAGAGAGAGAGAGAGAGAGAGAGAGAGAGAGAGAGAGAGAGAGGAAGAAAGAGAGAGAGAACAATGAAACTAAATGAAACAAAGCCTACACCTCAGTTTATTCCTGTAGTTGTGCAAGTCTTGAGAGGGGTGGAGATCTCTGTGGTCCAGTGGGCTTCTTCCATTTCCTCAGGAGGCAGTCTCCTGCTTCCACACGTGTGCCAGTGACAGCAGGTTAACACTGATTGTCAACCAAGCAGATCTACAGACCACCTCTGGGCATGTCAGGGTGCAGTTTCCAGGCTGGCTTCAGTGAGGTGGGACAGCCTGTCCTAAATGTGGCAGCATCAGCCCATGGACTGCAGGGACCTGAGGCGGCTCTCCCCCCCCCCCTTCTCGCTCTTGCTCTCTGTTTCTTGACTGAGGAAGTCACCTGACCCGTTGTCTCCTGCTCCTTCCCTTCCATGATGAACAACACCCTTAAACTGTAAGACAGAATAAGCCCTTGCTCCCTTAAGTGGCTGTGGTCAGGGTGTTTTATCTCTTCAACAGAAATAATTGACTAAAACAATTGATACCAGGAGTGGGGTTCAGCCTGGATCTGTGAGCCAGAGCTAGCCCTTTGTTTCCTTAAGTGTCTTGTCAAACATTTGGTCACAGCAACAATACAACTAGGATACATGGCTAATGTGAATTGAGGATCTACTATGTATATCTTCCTGTGTCTCTTCCCCTGTCTGCATGTTACAGATAAGGAAACCAAGACACAGCAAGGAGACACACTCAGCCTTGGACCCACAGCCAAACACCAGACATTCCTGAATGCCCCTGGCCTTAGGTTGCTCCCCAGGGAGTGCCAGGGAGTTGAAGTCTAAGACTTGAGCCTTCTTCCAGGAACATGGGAGTGGGGTCACAAGACCTGGGTGCAAGTTCAGATTCTGATGCTCAGAAATGGGACCCTTGGTGAGTCACAGCCCCTACTGGGGTCTCCGTTTCCTCATCTGTAGAATGGAGAGAGAACCACTGAAAGTCAGAACACAAACCGACCGACCCTCCCCCACCTATAAAAGACCCCATGGGCTCTCAGCCTCCCCGGTACCAAGGTCTGATTATCTGTCAGCATCTGCCCAATGAGATGTAGACAAAATATCTTGAGATTTTTAAAGACCTCTAGAAAACCTCCCATGCCCTGCTTATCTCTTTAGCAAGGAGGTCTAGCACGGAGCACTGACAGTTGTTTTGTATCATGAGGTAACTTTGATGTAAACCAAGGATCCATAAACTCAGAGGAAGGCCCATGGCTGCAGTAGCCGAGATGGACCTATCTCTGTGTCTTCTTGTCATCTTGGCCCTGGTTCCCAGCTTATACCAGCGTGGCATCCTTTCCCATGTCCAGTGGCCTGTGGCCAAGCATAGTATGCATCTCGAGAGTGACCCTGTCCCAGGGGCCCATGCTAGGCAACACTGTCTGGGGCAGATGAGAGGCAGACAGACTGCTCTCACTGGCTCTCTTCAAGACTGTGGATGTGATACAAGTGGCCATGAGACCAGTGGGGTCCCCAGGCTCTCGGGTGGGGTTATAGAAGGTCTGGCAATGGGTACCCTGCTGGGGCTGAGCTCTGCAACCAGCTTTGGAGTCTTCTGAAGGCTGGGCTGGCTCATCTTCAAAGGATGGTGGGGACAGCTCCCGGAGGCCACGACGAGTAGCCTGAACAGCCCGGAACAGGGTGTGCGTCATTATTGCCACCAGGATGAGGGCACCTGAGCCCAGGATGGATGCAGCTGCTGCGCCCGCCTCGATCTCAAACAGCAGCAGGGCGTAAATGGCCAGTGCTGAGGAGAGAACGGCACACTCATTCACTCCACAAACGTCTGCTTTCCCTCCACACAGAGCACCAGCAGAGAACCCTGGACCAGAACACATGGATGTGTCCATCCGAGCTTCATCAGCATCATGTCTATTTCCAAATAAGGAAACCAGCAAGGCAGGGTGGCCCACATCTTTAATGCCAGCACTAGGGAGGCACAGGCAGGCCTCTGTGAATTTGAGGCCACCCTGGTCTACAGAGTGAGTTTCAGGACAGCCAGGGCTATATGGTAAGAACCCATCTCAAAAACAAAACAAACAAACAAAACCCCAGCAAAAATGACTAGACACGTAGCTCAGAGGACCCAGGTTCGGTTCCCAGCACTGCACAGTGGTTCATGAGCACCCGGAACCCCAGTTCCAGAAGGTCTACTGGCTTTTCCAAGCTCAGGGATCAGGCATGATGCAGACAGACATGCAGCTGAAGCATCCATACCCGTGGTGGCCAGAAGACACTCAAAACCACACAGCCTGGGAAGAGGACAGATGGGATTTTACTTCTTGACTTTTTTCGCATTTTTTTTTTCGAGACAGGGTTTCTCTGTGTAGCCTGGGCTGTCCTGGAACTCACTCTGTAGACCAGGCTAGCCTCAAACTCTCGAACTCAGAAATCCGCCTGCCTCTGCCTCCCAAATGCTGGGATTAAAGGTGTGCGCCACCACCGCCTGGCCTTTTTTCGCATTTTTACTGCATTTGCTCACTGTGTGTGTGCAACATGCCATGGTGCACATGTAGAGGTCAGGGCACACCTTGGGGACAGATTCTCCACAAGTGTGGGTCTGGGAACTGTACTAATGTCAGCAAGCCAACCTTAAAGACGAGCCAATTGTAAAGATTGACTTTTACCCCTGTGTGTTTGCATGAGTGTGCACATAGGAATGTGTGTAAGTGCAGGTGGGTGTGCAGGTATGTGCACACAGGTGAGTAAGAGTCGGTATGTGCAGCTGTGTAAGTGTAGGTGGTGATGGAGACCAGGAGGTGTCAGGTTTCCTGGACTTCAGGTGGCTGTGAGCCGCCTGACATGAGTGCTGGGAACCGAACTCCAGTCCTTCGGAAGAGCAGGTGTGTGTGCAGGTGAGAACTGAACTCCAGTTTTTTGGAGGAGCACTAAGTACTCTTAATTGCTGAGCCATCTCTGCCTCTCTGGCTGAGGTACAGCTCAGTAGGTCGGCGCTTGTCTAAGTGTCCCAGATCCCAGGTTCCAGCCACAATGTAGTGAAATCAAAGCCACACCCTCCCAGGGCCTGGGCTGTGGCTTAGTGGGTAGAGCACTTGATCAGGATGCATGGGGGCTGATAAATTGGGTGCCCAATAAATTGGGTGTAGTGGCGTGCTATGGAGGCATGAGGACCAGGAGGAGCTCAGGGCCATCCTTGGCTACATATAGTGTTTGAAATCAGTCTGGGCTACATGAAACCCTGTATAAAAAAACAAATAAGCAAAAGCAAAAATCAAAACAAGACACCTCGGGGCCCCTGGGGAGGCGGCTCAGAGGTAAAATGCACTAGCTGCTCTTGCAGAGGACCTGGCATTGGTCCCTAGCACCTTACAATTCAGAACCCCCTGCGGCTGCAGCTTCAAAGGAGTCTGTGGCCTCTGACCTCCATGGGCACTACATATACCTCTCCTCTCAAGGTTTGGGAGGTGAAAGCAAGACCAGACATTCAGGTCAGCCTTGGCTACTAGGCGACTCGCAGGCCGGTCTGGCCTACAAGATAAACAGTGATACAGGATGAGCATTGACGGAGAGGCCTCTGTTCACTCCAAGCATCAACTCTTGTAAATACAATGATCTAATCATCACTCTTGAATTGATGGGGAAACTGAGGCATAGAGAATATCCAAGAGAAAGTGTTGGAGCAACTGCCTGAACTCAGGCTACTGGTCCAGAGACCTGCGTGCACCCTGCCCCAGATCCCCTGTCCCTCACGTCCACACACACCTGCTAAGTAGACGGAGACCTCACAGCAGAACAGGCCAAGCGCCGAGTGCCTGAGGCGGCGGCAGTCATAGAGAAACCAGTCCGACCTGGGGGATAGGGACAGGAAGGGGGACAGTGACCCAGTGACACCAGGAACTAAAGTCTAGAGCCTCAGCCCTCCACCTGCCTACCTACCTAACCAGCCACCCAGCCACATCATCGCTGCATGTCCCCAACCCATCTATCCACGCACTCACCAGCCATTTGCTTGAATGTACCCATTCCCAACCAGCATCAGGCCTCTCTGCACGGTGGAGGGTCAAAGTTGGGACAGGGGTGTGGTTGACTCAAGGAGATCAGCTCGTCGCATCCCCACTGTTCCAAGTACAGTTGCCTACACCTGCGCCACCTAGCTCAGAGCCTTGAGCACGTGACCGTGAGCCGGGCTGCGGCTTGCTGCGGATCCACAGCTGGAGTCCTGCCCTTCCTGAACCCCGCTTCAGAGCGGGGACCCGCGAGGTTGGGGTGCAGCTCCGATGATTGACATGCCCCCCCCCCACACACACACTTAACGCACTCGAAGCACCAGAGCAGGAAGGAGGAGGGCGCGCCAAGGCCCTGTTAGTATCATCCCAAGGAACTGGCGCTCTCTCGGAGTCTGTTTCCCTTCTGCAGGTAAAGGCGGTGGTATCCTACCTGCCGGGACCCGGCCCGCGTGCCAGCTCGGCGCCCAAGTGTCCGCAGAGCACGGCGAGCAGCAAACAGCTAAGCCCGAGGACTTGTGCCAGAGCGGCCAGCGCCGTCGCCAGCGGTAGCAATGCCCCAGCAGCAGCTTCGGGTAGCCCGGCATCGGGGTCCAGCTCCGGATGCAGCCCGTCGGTGCGCACGACCCGCAGCTCCGCGCGCCCTGCCTGGAGCTGGAACAGCAGCTGCGCAGCCAGCGCGACCAGCACCGCGGCCGGGATGCCCATTAGGGTCATCGCAGCCAGTACCCGACCTCCGAAGGAGCGGCCCATGGCGCGAGCCTGGGATGGAGAAGGGAGGTGGCAGTAGGCTTTCGGGATTCTTGGTGTGGGAATACGGACGCCACTGGGGCCCGAGTGCGGGTACCAGATAGGACGTGGAAAATGCGCAAAAACTTGGGAGAAACTGTTTTTTATTGCGCGTCTGCCTTGGGCGCCTCCCCCGGGTGTGCTGGGGAAGTGGGGAACTGGGGTTCGTGGACTGGGAGGGGCCCTGTTGGAAGAATCCGAGAGACGGGAGCTCCACCCTCTGCAAAGGGGCGGCGCCTAGCCCCTCGGTGAATCTGGAGATGAGGGGCGGGGTTGGATATGAAAAAAATTTTAATGGCCTGTTTGATGAGTGGAGAGGGGCGTGGTGAGGGGAGGAGCCAAAAAGGCTGGTGAAGGGCGGGGCTTAAGAGGACGGGGCTCAGAGACATCCCAACTTCGGGGTCTGCGTCCTGTGGACGATGATGGGTGGGGTCCCCAGGGTGAAGGGACCAGAATGGGAGTTTTGCAAGGCAGAGGTAGGAGGGCTCTAGTTCTGACACGTGTTGGGGCGGAGAAGTGGGGTTTAGTTGGGCGGGGAACACAGGTCGGGTGTGGTCTTGGGTCGGACCTGGAAATGGACATGTCTGGGAGGGGTCATGAAGGGGTTGGGTTAGGGCGGGCCATCTGAATTGCCCCACCCATTTGGAGGGGTGAGGCGGTGTTAGGAGAGTTGGAGAGGTAGGCAGAGCCCAGGAGGAATGGGTGGGGCCAGCCTGGTCTACAGAATGAGGCCAGTGCAGCTGGGACTGTGTAAGGGAGAACCTGCCTCTTGTTGGTGCAGCCCACGGTGCTGCCATTAGCTGTGACCTCTATCCACTCATTGCCCTGGAAGCTTCCAGGTCACCTTGCCTCCTGGGTCTCTTCCCTGCGTCCTTGGCAGAGGCCTTTTAACAAATTGAGATGAAACTTACAAGAGAGGATCCAGTCTCTACTTGCTGGGTTTTTTTAAGCACATTTACAGGGGCCCCTACCTATGTCTGGTCTGGAAACATTCTATGTGTTTACCAGGGCCTCTTCCCGTCAATCACACTCCACTTCCTGGTGGCCCCGGCAGCCCCAGACTGACAGCTTCATTTGTGGTTGTCCCTGTTGGGGACACTTCCTGCCGGGTGAAGTGTTTTGCACCTGACTGCTGTCACTCAATGTCTTGAGTGGTAGCCTGTGTCAGTGCTTTATCCCTGTTCCTGGCTGAGCAACGCTCCACTCTGGACACACCACTGGAGTTGGTCCATTGACTGACATTTGGAACGCGTTTACCTTTCGGCTAGTGTCAGTTCCAAAGCTACGGACACACAGAAGCAAGTCTAGGAACCCTGCCTCCAGCAGTGACGGTCTGTGAGTCAAAACGCTGATTCCTATGTTAACTCCATCTCATGGTCATGAAACTACAAGACAGTTCATGCAATTGTACAAATTTTATTTCTCATAAGGGGTGAATGAGGATTTCTATTTTCTTTAATTAATATTTTAAAATTTCACTTGGGCAGTGGTAACACATGCCTTAAATCCCAGCACTCGGGAGGCAGAGGCAGGAGGATCTCTGAGTTCAAGCCTAGCCTGGTCTACAGAGTGAGTTCCAGGACAGCCAGGGCTACACAGAGAAACCCTGTCTTGAAAAAGCAAAATAATAATATTTTAAAATTCTCCATTAACTACTCTTTAAGGGGAACATGAGTGGGAGTCAAGGAACACTTGTTTGAGTAGGTTCTTTTCCTGCACCGCGTGAGTACCCGAGATCGAATTCAGGTTGTCAGGCTTCCTTAAAATGTATTCAGTCTTGAACCTCAGTTTCCACCACTACTCAAAGTTGGGAAAGAAGGCGGATTAGTGTTGGCAGGGTCAGACTCCCCTGGTTCACAGCCTTCTTAACCCATCTAGTAAGATTCTTGGCCCAGGAAGTCAGGTTTGCCATGGATATGCTTGGTGCGGGCGGGAGGTTTTTAATCTCATTCTCACACACTAGCCCGATTGGGCCGCCAGGGGGCGCCGCAGGCAAAGCGAAAACATCGCACGCACTTCGGAGCTTGAGAGAAACTAGAAGGGGCGGCTTAGATCGAAGTCTCACCTAGCCGCTGCCGGCCTAGAGCTCCCTTTAAGTAGCGAAAAATGCTCTTCACCTCTGGATCCTTCTGCGCACACACACCTCTTGTCTTTTTTTCGTTTTCGTAGGCGGTGGTGGTGCATGCCTTTAATTCCAGCACTTGGAAGATAGAGGCAGGGGGTATCTGAGTTCGAGGCCAGCCTTGTTTAAAGCACGAATTCGAGGACAGCCAGGGCTACACAGAGACCCTGTCTCGAAACAAAACAAAACCTCTACTATTTTTTGTTAGATATTCTCATTTGTAACTGTGTGGGCATGCACCTACAACCATAAGTGCGTAGAGGTCAACGACTTGCGGAAGTCAGCTCTCTCTTCCACTCTGTGGGTTCCGGGAGTTGAACTCGGGTTGTCAGTCTTGACAACAAACACCTTTCTGTACAGAGTCAGAGCACTGAATGATAGGGGTGTACCACAGAGTGAGCCTGGCAGGAGTGTGTTTTGCTTCTTTTGTTTTGTTTTGGACGGAAGTTTTGAGTCTGAGGTTCTATGGGTTCTCAGTGCTTAGCCTGCACTGAGACCTGGGTATCTTGTTCACGGTATCTGTTCGTGGGAATCCACGTTCTTTCAAGGACTAGAGGAGATCTGGGAGAGAAAACTATTGTCTCTCTTTGGCTGTTATTCCAGCTACTCTTACACTGAGGCAGGAGAATGGCGAGTTCAAGGCCACCCTGGGCTGCTGTACTGAACTTGGAAGAGGACAAGGATAATCCAAGCCTTGTCTCTACACCCAAGTTCCCTTGGAGGTCACCAAAGTTCCGCCAATGCTCCCGGGTACACTGCGGGGGGGGGGGAGGGTCACCAGACCTCGGCCCCCTGCACCCAGGTACTCCAGGGGTCACCAAAGCTCTCTCTCCACTCCCAGGTACTCTGGGAGTCACCAGAGCTCCGCCCTTGCACCCGTGTCCCCCTGGGGATCACTAGAGTCACGCCCGCTTCGGTCCCGCCTTTGGCCGGCATCCCGGTCTACCCGGTACTTGCGACGGCGCAGAGGCTCGGTGATGCTGCGCCGCGCGGGCTCATCCAAGTCCTCAGGCTGCAGGAAGTTGCGGTCCAGCAGCTCTGCCGCCTCCTGCCAGTTGGTGAAGCAGGCGGGTCCCAGACGCTGGATCTCCTCCGTGGCGTCGCTCGTCAGCACGTCCCCGCCCGGCTTGAGTACCACGACCGCTGGCAGTTGACGCACGGAGAACTGGCGCCCGAGGTCCCTGTGGGAGAGAGCGCTGTCAGCCTCCCTCGGCTCCCGGTGCGCGCGCTGCCTCCGATGACCCACAGGAGTCGCCCGAGGACTCGCGGGCACCCCAGGCCCTGGGCACCCGCCCTTCAAACCCTCCCTCCCGGTCGCGCCGCCTCCCTTTCGGTGTCTGGGAGTCACCAGAGCTTCGCTTGCTATATGTATCTGTATTGTTTCCCTTATGTCAACGTGAAGAGGGAGGTTCGGGGGGCAGCGATTTCAAACAGCGAGGCCAGCTGAGGAATGTTTGGGAAATGTGTGTTTCCATAAATGCCAAAGCTATGGAATACTGTCAAACTGAGCAGAGTGGGCCTCTCCGGGGGTAATGTTTGAACTGAAACCTTATGGGATTGAGAGAGGGGCAGAAGAACTGCGGAAAGAGTGTTCCAAACAAAGTATGTGCGAAAGCCCTGGGGAGACCTTGACTGTGTACAGCTGGCATCGCTCACATGCCCTGAATGGGCAGGGGCAGGGGTTTTACTGTTCTGAAGCCACCGAGAAGCTGTCGGCATCTCCAGGAGATCCTGGACCCCACTCACAGCTAAGCCAGAATCCACCCACTCGGTGCCCTCCACGCTCACCGATGGATTATTATGAAGCTATGCGCTGGAACTCATTATACAGACTGAAATCTCACAGAAGTCGGCCTGGCGGGATTAAAGGCAAATGTCTCCAGGCCCAGCTCTCCCAAAGGTTTTGTTTGTTTGTTTGTTTGGTTGGTTGGTTTTTTGAGACAGTTTCTCTGTGTAGCACTGGTTGTCCTGGAACTCACTCTGTAGACCAGGCTGGCCTGAGACTCAGAGATCTGCTCGTCTCTGCCTCCTGAAAGCTGGGATTAAAGACCAATGCCACCACTGTTCTGCTTCAGCTGAAGTTCTTAAGCTATGATGAAGAACTTGCTTAGTTTTTTGTACCCCGGGATGGTTACATAGAAAAAGGTGATTTTGAACTCCTAATTCTCCTGCCTCCGCCTCCTGCATGTTGGGATGATGAGTGTGCACCTCCAAGGATGGTTTATGTGGGTGGGGCTGTGGTTAGAACCCAGAGCCACACAGACACTCTACCCTCCATTTTTGTGTTTGTTTCCACGGAAGTCTGTGCATCCGTGTGCAGTGCCTATAGACACCAGGAGATGGCAGAAGCACCCCAGAATTGCAGTTACGGGCCTCTACCTGGGTGCTGGGAACTGAACCCAGATCGTCTGGAAGAGCTCTTGGTACTCTTGACGACTGAGTCACATCTCTAGTCTTGTGTAGTCCCCTCCCACCCAGGGCCACTCTATGTGGCAGGAATGGGTTTAAATTCCTGGTCCTCAAACTCAGCCTCCCAAGCACTGGAATGAGAGGCCTGCACACGACACCAGGATCAGGGTGCATGAACTTTGTCCTCCATTGAAGGTTCCTCTATGATCCTCCTAGTTGGTATTTCTTCCCTGGGGATAGAAATTCTGCTTATTTGTGGGGCAAAGGAATCCACATGGCTGCACAGGACAGTGAGTGGCTGTCCCAGCTCTACTCATGATCAGTGGAATGGGGCCTTCGTGATCAGGCGCCTCAAACTTGTGCAAGAAAGTCAATGAAGTGGGTGAGAGGTCAGGAAGTTGGTAAACTCCACAGTTCACCTTCCCCTGCCTCGGGGAAGGTCCCAGCCCTCAGAGGCAGCACTTGGACTCTGCACACTTTTGGAGGTTGCAAGTTCAGATGTGATTACATAGAGTCTTTCTCAGAACTGGGATAGAACTCAGGGTCTTGAGCCACAGCCCCCAATTTTTATTACTGGTAGGACAAAGGAGAAGCTGGGTGTGGTGGCGGTGCATGTGTGTCATCCAGCACTTAGAGGGCTAAGGCAAGGGCATTGCTCTAAGTTCCAAGTCAGTACGAGAACAGTTGGAAAATGGCTCAGAGGGTCGAACACTTGCTATCCAAGGAGTTCTGGTCCCCAAAACTCAAATGCTGGGGGAGTGTTGTCACAGAGAAACCCCTGGAGCTAGCCAGCTGCTCGACTGGCACCCTGTGTGAGATCCAGGCTCCCATGGGAGACCCTGACTCAAGGAATCCAGCGGATGGACTGACATCAGCCTTTCACCCCACCCACACCAGAGAACACACACTGGCATACCCCTGCAGATATGGGCAGTGCAGTCGCACAACACACACACACACACACCACACCAAAACAAAAGTAAATATAAGAAATGCCAGCTGTTGTGACTGTCCTTCTAGCACTTGGGAGGCAGACAGGAAGACCAGGAGTTCAGGGCTGGCCTTAACTATATAACCAGTTGGAAGCCAGCGAGGGCTACAGGAGACCCTGCCACACAGTAGCTCGCCGTAACCAGAAAATCGGAAGCTCTAAGCCAGATGCAGGCTCTAGAGTCCTCTATGAGCCACCGCACAGTGTGACTCCTCCTCCTCTCCCTGACTCTATTACCCACAATGGCTCCCATCCTCCCTGCAGGTGGAGGGCTAAGTTCATCTTTCCAAAGTTCTGTGGTGCCAGCTTTGAGACCTTCTTCAAAGCTGTGCACCCGGACCCTACAGCTCCTGGGGTGGGGTCTCCTGTGTTATTTTTCTCATGGGTTTTATTGATTTGAGGACAGGGTCACCCTATGTAGTCCAGGTTAGCCTCAAACCCCTGATAGTCACGCCTCCACCTTCCTTGGGTTTTAGATTGCAGGGATGCATCCCCATGTTGGGTTTATGCAACGCTGCAGATTCCAGGCCAGCACTCCAGGAATGGAGCTACCGTCCTCACCTCTTGCTTTGTTTTTAGATCTAGCCTTAAGCTAGATCTTGTAGCAATCTTCCTGTCTCATCTCCAAGTATCAGGATGGCAGGTCTGGGAGACTACCTCTAGCTGGCATCCTGGGTTTTTCTGAGCCTTTGCTTCCTATCTGTCTGCTTCACTGGGCTGTGACAGAAGAGGGATGGAATGCCTCTTTCTGGACTAGTAGTGCCAGGACAGTAAATTAGATGCTTTCTCCAGGAAGCCCTCCCTGGTCTTCCCTGGGGCCTTACCTTCTTAGGTCATCATGGAATGGCAGGAAAAGCCACTTTTCAGGCATGTCCCTGAGGAAGAGGTCCTGTTGCTCCTCTGTAGGGTCCTGGGACACATAGATCAGGGCCAGCTGTGCCGCCCGTAGCACGTAGAATTCATCAGTGAGTCGCACGAAGAAGTCTTTAAGGACTGGGGCGAAGGCCTGGCACTGGGGACAGGTCCCGGCACCGAAGAACAGCAGCACTAGCCGATTCTCTAACCTACGACTCAGCTCCACCTCTGTTTCCACTTCATCCTGGTCGCTGTTGTTCCTGATCAAGATGCGGCCAGAGAAGAGAGATACCATGGTTGCAGCGTGTGAGGAGCTGGGGACCCAAAGATGGATCTGATGTGGCCTGGAGCCTGCTGACTGGATTCTCCGTGCCCTAAGAATAACCCAGAAACCAGATTAGCCGCTAATCCTCCTGTAGGTTGACCTCTACAGAGCCAGCATTGGTTTGAGGGGGCAGGGAGGTCTCATGGACCTTCAACAGAGCCACACTGCTGCAAGATGTTAACAAAACAGAGAGACTGTGAGCCCAGTACTGAGGCAGAAGGATCACTGCAAGATCCAGGACATCCTGGGATATATGACAAAAAAGAGAGGGACTGGGGCATTGCTGCAAGTAGGGCACCTGCCTAGAATACCCCAGTGAGGAGCTAGGGGGAGTGGCTCAGGGGTGGAGCCCCTGCCTAGAATGTCCCAGTGAGGAGCTAGGGGGCGTGGCTCATGGGTGGAGCCCCTGCCTAGAATACCCCAGTGAGGAGCTAGGGGGCGTGGCTCAGGGCCTGGCTTCCATCAACTACAACAGAGAAAAACAAACAAAACAATAAACTCCAGTGTCTCCCCTTACTTCCAAGGTGAGTGAGAGTGTTACTCAAGGTAGTTACACTCAAGGAAGTTGGGCATGCTCCCATACAACTCAAAGAACTTTTGCTTCTGTTTTGTTTTGTTTTGAGACAGGGTCTCCATGTAGCCCTGGCTGTCCTGGAACTCACTTCGTAGCCAAGGCTGACCTTGAATTCAGAGATCCACCTGCTGCTGCCTCCCAAGTGCTCAGATTATAGGCGTGCAGCAGTACTGCCAGGCCTTGTTTTTGAGAGAGGATTTCTTGTAACCCATGCTGTCCTTAGAGTCCCTATGTAGCCAAGGTTGACCCTGATCCTCCTGTTGTACTAGGGTGTGACTACTTGGTGTCTGCAAAGACAGAACAAGCACAGAGGAGACCAGAAGACTGCAAAAATGTTCATTTTCTGCTGCAAGAAGGGACACCAAAGCAAAGTCCTGCGGACTCCCACCCCCGAGCATGTTCGGCTGTTTTTTATGGTAGTAGGTCACACATGCGCAGTGCACTTATGGTGAGCAGAAGAAAACATGCTGACACTGGTTTTCTACTTTCACTATGTCTGGGGTATTGAACTCGGGGCATCCGGCTTGGCAGCAAGTGCCTCTACCAGCTGAGCCCTCTCTTCAGTCCTGGGCATGCTCAGCTTCCCTCATCAGTTTCAAGCAGAAGATAAAGGAAAGGCCACTCTGACGGAGTGTCAGCTCTGGGGTTGGTCACCAGCACTGACTGCACCCACTTTACAGGTGTGTCAGTACAGGGGCCTTCCTTCCCTCTCCCGGGTCTCTGTGTCCCATTGCAACTTCTACCTGCTATGCAGCGAGTTTCCACCCCTGCCTTGTTTAGGGGGTAAAGGCACACATGGACCCCAGGATTTCTTGCTTGCTGGGCAAGCACTCTGTCAACTGAGCCTCTTCAGGGCTCCCAGTCAGGGACTTCCTAGGTTTATAGAAGGCTTCCTCAGCCTCACAAGCCTCCTTTCTCCCTCTTCCTAAAACGTGGCTTAGAGGCAAGCCACCTGCCTTTATTTTCATTCTTTGCACGTATGTACGTATGTGCGTGTGCATAGGTATGATGTATGGCATGTGTGGAGGCAGGAGCATAACTCATGGGAGTTCTCTTTCACCATGTAGGTCCTGGGGATCAAACAGAAGTCCTCAGACTTGGCAGGGATCGCCTTTACCCGCGGACCCATCTAGTCAGCCTGCCATCAACCTTTCAGATTTTGGGGACCAGGGACTGGGGAGCATGTGCAGAGAATGAGGGGGTCAAGAGCCTGGTGCTTACACTTAGCACTCTATAAATGAGGAGGAAGGGAGGAGAAGAAAGAGGAAGGGAGTAGAGGGCATGGGCTGGGGAGAGGAGGAAGTGGGGCAAAGGGCACAGGAGATGTTCCAGGAACAGCGAAACAGGAGGAGGCTGTGAGCGAGGAGGAGGGCAGACGGCAGGGCTGAATCCAGCTTGGGGGCCGGCTGCAGCGCTCAGTGTTTTACCTGTAAAAATGGGGTACTCGAGGGCAAGTCTAAAGACGGGTCCTTGTTGACCCCTGGCTGGCTGCGTCGAGATCTTCAGCACCCGCCATCACACCCACCCACCCCTCTGAGACCAATGGCAGCTGCGGGTGGGGGTGGGGCCCCACTTGCCCAGCCTTGGCCTTCAAGTGGCGCTGGAAGCAGGCCCTGGCTGGCTTCCTCCCAAGGAGAGCTGTGGGAAGGTCGGCCAAGCGGGGTAGAAAACAAGCAAGCCCGCAGGGTGGGCAGGGGGGCGTGGGAGGGTGGCTGGAAGGGAGGGACAGGGCAGAGTCACGCAGGGGCACTGTGAGAAGCGCCTAGGACTCTGCAAAGGGCTCATCCCCTGAAGCGACCCACCAGCTAGGCCTGAGCTCAAAAGTTCCCAGTCCATACTTCTGCGAGAACCCACGAGGGAGCTGCGAGGGCCTGGGGTCTGCAAGCCTCAGAAGGTCAGCTTGACAGCAAGGGTGGGGGCACCCCAACAGGAGGCTAGGGATTGGGGCGCCTCTGGATAGGCGCTTAGGATTCTGGAATGCAAACAGGGCTCGAGGGGGCTCTTGCCCCTGGTGAGCAACAAGGGATTCTGGGATGTGGTAGGGTCTCTTGGGGGAGCTCCTGGCGTGCAAGAAAGGCTCATGTCGATGAAGGATGGGAGCCGATGTGCGCCCTGAGGTTCTGGGATGTGACTTGTTAAGGTTTGAGAGGTAGAATTGGGGTTTGGGGCTCCTTATCTCCAAGACTGGGACCTCTGCAGCCCCCCCCCCCGCCTCCCCGGGTGTGAATTTCGACTCTCTCGGAGTCTGGAATGCTGAAAAGCCTCGGGGCTTGGATCTAGGACAAGCTGGATCAGGCAAGCTCCAGCGCAGGCGGGCCCTAGGCGGGAGCTGGGCATCTGGGAAGCGGGGATGGGGATCTTGGAGACTTTCTGGGATTAGGCAGGACGGAGCCACACCCCCTGGAGCCACAGCCCCGCCCTCAGCACCTGCTCGTTTTCACCGCTTGGTTGCCGTGGAGACTTGTAGGCACCCTGGGCCGGCCGCTCTAGTTTGAGAGTCTCGTTGGGTTGCGGGCTCTCTGGCCCGCGGGTCCTCTCTATGGTCTAAGCCTCCGGAAGGGGGTCGGCCGGTGCGGAGCAGGGTTGAAGGGCTGAGAGAGTTTGGCCGCGAATTGGAAAGTTTGGGGCGGGGCTAGGCGCTGGGTAGGCCGTACGGACCCGGTCTTTCCGTGAGCAGTGACTGACAAGGCCTAGAGACTGCGCGGGAGACCCAGGTAGAATCTGAGTCCAGAATGCCGGAGAGTCTAGGGACCGTGGGCGGGCCCGCGCCGGTGGGCGGAGCCATAAGCATCACTTGGAGAGTGGGCTGGGTCAGACTGGGGAGGTGCGGATGGGGGCGGGATCTTGGGACTGCTGAGGGCGGGGTCATAGGTTTCACCTGTAGGGTGGGATTTGGGGGAAGAGTGATCAAGTGTGAGCTAGGGGGTGGAGTCACAGGCCTTCATCTGGGGGAGGAGCAGGACTTTGAGGCTCGCAGTGTGGGCGGAGAAAGAGGCCTCAGTTCGGGGCGTGGCCTAATGATGAGGGGGCTAATAGGGGATAGAGGCCGTTGTCGTTGGGACACTCAGTGTCTGAGGCCGGATAAGCATGAGGGTAACGTGAATTTTGAGACACAGAGGAGGGATGAGGCGACATTAGGGCATGGCCTGGGTCTTTTTTTTAATGCGAAGGGCCTAGGTGTGTGCGGGTTATTAGGTGAACACAAGCTTGGAGGGCTGAAACTCAGGGGTGGAGCTTGGCCGTAGGGTGTCTAGCCACGTGGTCAATGCTTGGGGAGGGGAGGTCTGCCTTTGATGGGCGGAGGGTAAAGATTGATATGGAAGTAGCCAATCCCAGGCCTTGGTTGGAGTTAGCCTCCCTAACCTTGCTCTGCGGCGGCGGGGTGGGGCGGGGCCTGATACTAAGGTACACGCTGGGGGCGGGGCCATGTTTGTAGTAAAAGCGTTTGGGTTTAGGCTGCAGAGGAGGGAAAAAGAACGCGGCCGGATCTGTGACGTGGCCTAGGCGGGGTCAAGACTAGGTGGGGGGCGGGACCCGCGGTCTCAGCTGTGTGCTCCGCAGGATGCGGGCTCCCGGGGCAGGAACAGCCTCTGTGGCCTCGCTGGCGCTGCTTTGGTTTCTGGGACTTCCGTGGACCTGGAGCGCGGCGGCGGCGTTCGGTGTGTACGTGGGTAGCGGCGGCTGGCGCTTTCTGCGTATCGTCTGCAAGACGGCGAGGCGAGACCTCTTGTAAGTAGATGGAGTTGAAATTTAGGGGTCGGGGTCATGGATGCAGGGCCCTCGGGGGAGCCAGAGTCTTGCAGGGTGGTGTGAGAGTGCCTTTATGGCCTGAGGTTGATTTTAGAGTCTGGGGTCGGGCGAGAAGGTGGAATGACTTACTGGGGGGCTCTGCAGGGTCCTGCAGAAGATAGAACTCTGGAGGAAATTGAGTACGTGATTGAGACTTAGTGTGCTGTTAGTCGTTGGCCACCGTTAGAGTGGGTATCTGGTGGGTATTGGGAGAGCTGGGGGTTCCCGTGGCACGGTGCAGACTGGGAGAGGCCTCTGTGGGATTAGAGGGGTGACCCACTGTCCAGATTCTTGGAATGAACAGGTTTGGGGTGAAGGAGCATCTTGAGGAGTCCACAGGACGCCTAAAGAGTCTCTAAAGGGTATTGGTCCCTCAGATAACACGTGAGTGTGGAACTTTGGCCATTGTTCAGGGTCTGTGGGAAGGTCTCTGTATGCATGCACACTGTGTATGCACACTATGTACAGGAGGTGAGGTTCGCTGAGGAGTCATGGTGTGCAGGGAACATGGAAGCTTCTGGGGTAACCTTAGTGTGCTGGAATTCAAAGTTTCAAGTCAACCCTTGTTGATCCATCTGGGTGCCTTCACAGATCTCCTTCGGGGAGGCCGACTGAGCATTGTTAAGAGTGAGGAAACAGGGTTATGGGGGCAGAGCAGGACGGTGTGGAGTGGGGTGCCACAGGCTTACTGGCTCCGAGCTTTCTCTTTAGTGGGTCTCACCTGCCTTCTTTTTTCTTTCTTCCTTTCCTCCTTTCTTCCTTTCTGTTTTTCTTCTCCCAAAGTAGCAAAGAGACAACGCTGAGGAGGGAGAGGAGGGAGAGTCGCTTCTGAAGACTCCAGGGCCTGTTTTGGGAATGGGCTCTCATGGAGCCCAGGATGACCTTGAACTCCTGACCCTCTCCCTTTGTCTCCCCTGTGCCAGGGTGACAGGTGTCAGCACATCTGGTTGTGGGAGTGCTGGGGTGCAGCACAGGACATTTTGCACTCTGCCCACTGAGCCTGGGCCACAGTCTCTGTTTACCTTGTGAGATGGGCTCCTATGGAGCTCGGCTTCCCTTTTCTTTCTTTTTCCTTTTCTGTCTTTTCCCCCCTCCCTCTGTCTTGCCTTTCTTGCCCAGGCTGGCCTGAAACTTGAGATCCTCCTGCCTCATCCTCTGGAGTGGTGGGATTAACAGGCCAGTTGCAGTCTTAAAATGAGTGTAGTCTGCTTGGTGAGATGGCTCAGCACCTAGAAGGTGCTTCTCCAGAGGACCCGGGTTTGGCTCACCACCAAGCCATCTTGTGTCCACTGCAGGCTCCTGTGCCCATGTGTGTCCATACACACACACATGTTTTACTGAGCAGAGCAAAGCAGAGCATGAGTATATAATGCATGCAGTGTCACAGGAGGCCATTGGCAGTGTGACTCCAAAGCTGGCTGGCTGCTGTGAACAGCCCTCACTTTTTGAATTGTCTTTTCTCTTCGTCTTCGTTGTTTTGATTAATTATTTTTATTTCATGTGCACTGGTGTTTTCCTGCATATATGTCTGAGTGAGGGTATCATCCCTTAGAACTGGAGTCACAGAGTTCTGAGCTGCCATGTGGGTGCTGGGAATTGAACCCTGGTCCTCTGAAAGAGTAGCCAGTGCTCTTAACTACTGAGCCTTCCTTGTCTTTTTTTTTTTTTTTTTAATGTTTTTGAACCTGGGTTTCCCTGGAGCCCAAGATGGCCTTAAACTCCCAACTCTCCTGCCTGGGCCTTCCAGTGCTGGACATCCCGCCCTGCTGTGTCCAGTTCACCTGCTGCTGTACAGGAGCATCTGCCAAACCCTGCCGAGTCTCTCAAGGGGCCTGCTTGGCTGCAGGCTTGAGTTCCAGGGCTCTGGATGAAAGAAGCTGGGGGCGGGAGAGGCCCTGGGAAGGGCCAGGCTGGACAGAGGTGTCTTTGTACTCAGTGTGGGGGTGGCTTGGGCAGCTGCCATCCTGGGTGCCAGAGCATGTAGTAGGGACAAAACACCGGATCCCTGCCTGCAGGCATGGGCGTGCTGATGAGAGGCAAGGTGGAGAGAAGGCCCTGACAGGCCCATGGTGCTGCAGCCTCACAGACCCGTCAGCTGTGGCCTGGCTCCCATCTGCAGCTTCCAGAAGAGCTGCTTATAGCTTGATGCAGCCCTGTCTTCTCAACTAATCGCCCTCCCCCCATCTTCATGGGTTTGTGAGGCAGTTAGTGGTACTCCAAGCATAGCCAGTGCTCACACAGTAGGTGTTCAAGGCTATGTGCTGATAGCACACTGGATAGGGATAGGAACCCAAGATCTGACTGTGGACCTTGGGCAGTCCTCTTGTTTCTGATCTAATCTGTGAACAGCAGGGTTTCATTGAGCAGCTGTTGGGGCCCCATCGGCATCTGTACTGTGTGAGCCCATGGAGGATCTTGAGTGAGCTCTGTTCAGTTCTGACTCATCCTGTCCTTCACTTGCTGGCGTGAGACCTCGTCTCTGATAACTCAGGTCTCTGAGCCATCAGCTGGTCTGTCAAGTCCCAGTGGGAGACTGTAGATAGGGCACAGCATTGGTATGTACTGGGTGGTTAATAAATGCTGGGGTTAAACGTCTTTGCCTGGACCACCCCATCTTTGTTTTCTGGTGGTCGTATTTGTTTTTCCTAGTTACTCTGGTTTTTTTTTTTTTTTTTTTTTTTAATCTGAGCTGTTTTCTGGTTTGTGAGTATAGTACCCTCTGTTTACTTTGGTCCTTGACCATGGTTCCTAGGATCTCAGGGACCTCACCCCAGGGACTCACTATTAAGGAGCCCAGAACACAAACACCCTAGAAGATATAGTCTTGAGCCCCAAGCTGTCAGGCTAACCCTAGGATGAACATGAAAAACCAATTTTTAAAATAGCTACTTAAACTTTGTTATTATGTTATTTTATAAGGGTGGGTATCTCACGTATGCTTGTGTGTGCACCGTGTATATTCCTGGGTGTTTCATGTATGTTTATGTGTGCATCATGTACATTCTGGGTGTCTCATGTATGTTTGTGTGTGCATAGTGTACATTCCTGGGTGTCTCATGTATGTTTTTGTGTGCACCGTGTACATTCCTGGTGTCTCACATATGTTCGTGTGTACATCGTGTACATTCCTGAGTGTCTCATGTATGTTTGTGTGTGTACCATGTACATTCTTGGTTGTCTCACGTATGTTTGTGTGTGCACTGTGCACATTCCTGGTGTCTCACGTATGTTTGTGTGTGCACCATGTACATTCCTAGTGTCCACAGAGGCCAGAAGGAGATATGGGATCTCCTGGAGCTGCAGTTACAGAGGTTTGTGAGCAACCATATGGGTGCTAGGTTGCCGCTGAGCTGTCTCCTCAGCCCCCAATTTCATTTTAGGGCAGGGTCTTGCTGTGCACTTGAGGTGGGCCTGAACCCACTAGTCCTGTGATGGCAGGCGAGTGCCATCAGCTAAGCTTAGGACGCTTGATCATCTATCCACCAACAAGCAGATACCTGTGTCTTCTTCACACTTCCCTTATTTTTTCCACACTGGTAGCTGGGCCATGGGAGCCTAGCCCCGGGCAGCCACCATGTTCTGGCAGCTTCTCTGCATTGCAGTGAATACCACAGTATGTCTGTGGCTGCTTTCCAGCACATCTTTACCATGCAGGAGCATGTCTGTGACAGATGCAGCCCTCAGGGATGAAAAGCAGCCCTGGTGCAGAGTGCCCAGCTGGAGCAGGAAGGGGTGAATTCATGCACCCTCAGGAGTGGGTGACTCTAATGTGCTGCTCTTTGGTGCGTGAGATGGGTGAATAGGTCAGGAGGCTTGTCTACAAGCTGTAGTACCCAAGTTCCATTTCCAGGACCCTCAAGGTGGAGGAGAGAACTCCCTTCCACAAGTCGTCCTCCGGTCTTGACACACACAGTGAGTGGATGAATACAAACTAGCTGGAAGTGGTTTCACGGGCCTTTAATCCCAGCACTGAGGGGGCAGGGCACGGAGGGGGCAAAGGCAGGTGGATATCTATAGGTTTGAGGCCAGCCTGGTCTACAGAACAAGTTCCAGGACAGCCAGGGCTACACAAGAAACCCCATCTTGAAAACAAAACACAACCAGATTTAAAAGTTAAAATTCTCATTTTTGCAAGCATGGAAATGATCCTGGGTTCACAGAGGTGTTGATGTGTCCCTTCACAGGTGGCCTCTGAGTGACAGGGTGGATGTGTCACTACTGAGTCAGAGCAGTGGAAGCACTGGCTGCTTTACTCACTCACTCTGTGTGTGCTCCCATGTGAGCTTGTGCGCTTGTCTGCGTGTGCTCCTGTGTGAGCTTGTGCACTTGTCTGCGTGTGCTCCCGTGTGAGCACACATGGGCACTTGTGGAAGTATGAGGACAATCTGTATACCTTTAATCCTATCACTTAGGAGGGAAAGACAGGCAGATTTCTGTAGTTTTGAGACCAGCCTAGTCTACATAGAAAGTTCTAGGACAATCAGCCTCACAGTGAGACAGTGTTTGAAAATTTTTCTAAATATGAAGTTTTTAAACATTATACTAGCATTTTTATGTTTTTTTTTTTTAGAATTATTTGTTTATTTTGTTTGTATGAGTTCACTGTAGCTGTCTTCAGACACTCCAGAAGAGGGCATCTGATCCCATTACAGAGATGGCTGTGACCCACCATGTGGTTGCTGGGACTTGAACTCAGGACTTCTGGAAGAGTAGTCAGTGCCACCTCCCGAGCTCTACGAGCTCTGTATTAGCTTTTTTTTTTTTTTTTTTTGGTTTTTCGAGACAGGGTTTCTCTGTATATCCCTGGCTGTCCTGGAACTCACTCTGTAGACCAGGCCGGCCTCAGACTCAGAAATCCGCCTGCCTCTGCCTCCCAAGTGCTGGAATTAAAGGCGTGCGCCACCACCACCCAGGCCGTATTAGCATTGTTTGAGGCAAGATTTTTAAGGAGATCCTGTTTCCTGTAGCCTGAGCTAGCCTCCCTGTGTATAAAGCCCAGGCTGGCTTTGAGCTCATAATCTCCAGCTTTAATGATAACCAGCTACCTTACTGATGACATTTACCAGTTCTCAGGGCCCAAGTCCCTCTCCTAATTATATCTATGCCTGTCTTTAGCTTTGATAGCCCTCCAAACTCTGGGGCAGCTGTTTCTGAGGGTAGCAGGATTCCTGGCTGACCTGCCACCCAGGCACTGGAGACTCCCTTACCTCTAGGATTATTTGTGGCAGGCTCTGTACCAGGAGGGCCAGCCTTGGGCCTTGGGCAATCTTCTAAAATGCTTTCCTGCCTTCTTTGCCCTCCTCTTCCTCTTCCTCCTCCTCCTCTTCTTCCTCCTCTTCCCCTTCTTCCTCTTCCTTCTCCTCTTCTACTTCCTCCTCCTCCTTCTTCTTTTAAATTCACTTTTAGTTTTTTTTTTTTTTTTTTTTTTGGTTTTTTTTCGAGACAGGGTTTCTCTGTGTAGTTCTGGCTGTCCTGGAACTCTCTCTGTAGACCAGGCTGGCCTCGAACTCAGAAATCCACCTGCCTCTGCCTCCCAAGTGCTGGGATTAAAGGCGTGCGCCACCACCGGCTCACTTTTAGTTTTTTGAGACAGGTTTTCTCTGTATAGCCCTGGCTATCTACTATCTCTGTAGGCTAGGCTGTCTTGGAACTCAGAAGTACACCTGCCTCTGCCTCCCTAGTTAGTGCTGGGGTTAAAGGTATGAGCTGCCACTGTCCAAGCCTTTTAGTTTTAAATTTATTTTTACAGGCTGGAGGGATGGCTTAGAAGTTAAGAGCACTGTCTGCTCCTCCAAAGGTCCCAAGTTCAATCCCTATCAACCATATGGTGGCTCATAAACTATTTATAGTGTGATCTGATGTCCTCTTCTGTCATGCAGGTATACATGCAGATCGGGTACTCACCTATGTAAAATAAGTATATCTAAAAAAAGCCTTAAAAATTATTTTTATTTAATATGTTTTAGTTTTTTAAATTTATTTTTCACATGCACAAAAGTATTGCCTACATGTATGTGCGTACCATGTACATGCCTAGTGCCTGCATGTGTGTAGTGTGTGTACCATGTGCATGTATGTGTGCCCGCATGTATGTGTGTACCAAGTGCATGTCTAGTGCTTGCAGAAGGCAGAAGAGGGTTTTGCCACAGGAACCGCAGTTCCGGGTGGTTGGGAGCTGCCATGTGGTTGCTGGAAATTCAACACAGGTTCTCTGAAAGAGCAGCCAGCGCTCTCACTGCTGAGTCAACTCTCCTCTCCAGTCCTTTTTTTTTTGAATCCTGTTCCATAGCAGCATCTGGTCTCATACTCCCACTCCCTCTGCCTCAGCTTCCCGGATGGGTGCTTAGATGACAGGTGCTAGGTGGGCCCCATGCCCTGCTCTTTCCCTCCAGGAAACAGGACAGGACAGGAAATAAGTCCGCGTCAGGCAGGCCATGGGTTTGGAAGGTCCTGGGTGCCAGGGGAGAGATGCCAAGGCAAAGGCAGTACTTCCAGGGCTCCTGGAGTGTTTTCTGAGCATGGCACAGCTAAACCGAGGCCTAGGGCAGGAGAACAGATGCTGAGGAGAGTGTGGCTGCTGAGCCTGTGCAAAGGAACTGGAGCAGACTTGCTGGGCGTGTCTGCAGTAAGGGAGCAGTGGGAGCCAGCTGGGATGGGGATGGTACAAGGCGTTTCTTTTGTCCCCTCTAAGTCTCACCCAGGCACATAGGAGGAGGAGGAGGTGTTAGCTATTTGGGTAGAAACAAAAGAATCTGGGGCTCAGTTGGTAGATTACTCTCCTACACGCCCTGGCTCCCATCTCTAGCCACATAAACTGGCACATACCCTAGGACCTTTGTCCCAGCTGGGTGGAAGCCACCCACCTCTTCCGAAGTCCCCACTGTCATGAGTTCTTGTTTTGATTGTTCTCACCCTTCTCATCACCTTCAGTTCTGCCCAGTGCTCATCACTGTGTGGTGTTCTCCCAAAGGGCTGTGACATGTCTTCAGAGCAGAGAGCAGTTGGGCATCCTGAGGGGGTGAGAAATGGGCATGAAGCGTGAGAGGAGGAATGACTGGATGAAGGAAGAGAGGAAGCTGCTGGGGTTCTGCAGCCTGACTCAGGGTTGCTGTGAGATGAAGGCTAGCCTGGGCTAGTAAGGAGCTATCAAGTGGGAGACCAAAACTAGCCTGTGGTCATCATCTCCTGGCGTCCTCTGAAGATGGGGTACAGTACTCGAAGGACATCCTCAGAGAGAGGAACCAGGATGAGTTCTGAGACCTTCCTGATAACCCGGCCTGTCAACCCCGGGCTCCAGATGATGAGGCAGGAAGAGGGCAAGCTCTAGGTCAGAAGGCAGTTAGCGAGACCCTGACTCAAAAGTAAGGAGTGGGCTGGGGGCGCGGCTCAGGTGGAGCCCCTGCCTAGAATTCCCCACTGAGGAGCTGTGGACATGGGTCAGGGGTAGAGCCCGGCCTAGAATCCTCCAGAGAGGGGCTGGGGGCGTGGCTTGGGGGTGGAGCCCCTGAGTAGAATCCCCCAGTGAGAGGCTGAGGGCTTGGTAGTAGACTGCTTGCTAAGCATGTAAATGTCTCAGAGAGCAAAAGAAAGTCTGACAGTCGGTATTCAGGGCACCCGGCCATTGCGGGATGACTAGTTGGTGACTAATTCTCATGTGGTAGACAGGCTGGTGTTGGGGATTCATAGCTTCTTGTCTGGTTGGTTAATGTTCCCTGCCCTAAGATATCAGCCACTAAAGGACCCCTTCCTGGATCCTAGCTGTCCTGGGACCCCGAGGCCACAGGCAGCTCTGGACAGTGGCCCTGTCCCCGTCTCTGCAGTGGCCTCTCCGTTCTGATTCGTGTGCGGCTAGAGCTGCGACAACACCGGCGAGCAGGAGACACAATCCCGCGCATCTTCCAGGCCGTGGCCCGGCGACAACCAGAGCGCCTGGCGCTGGTGGACGCAAGTAGTGGTATATGCTGGACTTTCGCACAACTGGACACCTACTCCAATGCTGTGGCCAACCTGTTCCGCCAGCTGGGCTTTGTACCGGGCGATGTGGTGGCTGTGTTCCTGGAGGGGCGGCCGGAGTTCGTGGGACTGTGGCTGGGCCTGGCCAAGGCCGGTGTGGTGGCCGCGCTTCTCAATGTCAACCTGAGGCGGGAGCCCCTGGCCTTCTGCCTGGGCACATCAGCTGCCAAGGCCCTCATTTATGGCGGGGAGATGGCAGCGGGTGAGGCCTGATGGAAACCAGGAGGGTGGGGACCTAGGGACCTCAGGGATAGGGAGATGCTGGCCGGGATGCTTCGTGACTGTGACCCTGAGCCTCTGTCACCACAGCGGTGGCGGAGGTGGGTGAGCAGCTGGGGAAGAGCCTCCTCAAGTTCTGCTCTGGAGATCTGGGGCCTGAGAGCGTCCTGCCTGACACGCAGCTCCTGGACCCCATGCTTGCTGAAGCGCCCACCACACCCCTGGCACAAGCCCCGGGCAAGGGCATGGATGGTAAGTGGAGGGGTCACGGACATCTCTCCCTTCTGTCCTCTGCTCTCCTGGTGCCTGACGTCTGCTTCTTCTGCAGATCGGCTGTTTTACATCTATACTTCTGGGACCACTGGGCTTCCTAAGGCGGCCATTGTGGTACACAGCAGGTAAGCAGGGTCCTAGGGCCCTCCCTACCCCATGGTCTCCCTATGCTGGGACCTGTCCCTCATGGTCTTTTCCTCCTCCTTACCTTCTGGCTGAGCCCCACCTGTCTCCTGCTCTGCCTCCTGCCCTCCCCCACCCGAGCCTTGGCTCGCATCCTTGAGGGTTTTGTATCCTAAATCCGTGACCATTCTGCTTTGGCGCAGCTCAGTCATAGAGTAGCTTAGTCCTCTCCGGACCCTAGTTCTTCCTCCAGCCAACCACAGCCCTTGAAGCCTGGGAACCTTTCTATGTGTTGTACTCTCAGGCAGCCTTTCCAGAGGGCGCAGGTCCTCTCCCTCCAGCCCAGAAGACTCCCCGATGTGTCACCTCTAGATCTCTGCCATGACTACGTGCCTCTCCCTACAGGTACTACCGCATTGCAGCGTTCGGCCACCATTCCTACAGCATGCGGGCCGCCGATGTGCTCTACGACTGCCTGCCACTCTACCACTCTGCAGGTATGTGGACACCCAGGGGAATGGACAGAATCCCTCGGCGATCCTCACAGCTACCCTCTTTCTAGGGAACATCATGGGCGTGGGACAGTGTGTCATCTACGGGTTGACGGTGGTACTGCGCAAGAAGTTCTCTGCCAGCCGCTTCTGGGATGACTGTGTCAAGTACAATTGCACGGTAGGCCCCGCCCCCTCTCAGGCCCCTCCCACCATGCCCGGGGTACAGCAGTCCCTGGGCTCAGGCTGGATCAGGACACGCCCCTCCTCCTCTGGCTACTCCCTCATGGGTTGGTCCCTCTCTGTAAGACTGGCCCCAGTGAAGCTCAGTCCCTGCCCTCAGGGCATACCCTTCTGCTCTGGCCACGCCCCTCCCGTTCTGGCTCCACCTTATATCAAGCTCCGGTCCCACCCAGACTTCACCTTAAGCTTGCTTCCTTGCAGGACTGCTTTGTCCCTCCTGCTCAGCCACGTCTCACCTGACCTGTGTCACTCCTTGCTTTGCCACCTTCTTGGCTAGGCCCTGCCTCTCCCTTTGGCCCCACCCCACTAGCGAACCAAGGTGCATCTTCACAGGCCAGATCTTGCCACTGCTCCTCTACCTGCTGTACCAGGCTAATCCCTTGTCCCTTCTGGCCAAGTCCCATCCTTCGTGCTTAGCCGCCACCCCTCCTGGCAAGGTTACACTGACTCTAGGCAGGCTGGGTCCCGCCTGCATAGCTTCCAGTTCTCCCATCCAGGCTGTTTGCTACCAGACCAGGCCGTGCTCTAAGTGGTCCCGTCTAGTTAGGCCCTGCCCACTCTGCCTGTCTGCCTGCCTTGATCGTGGGTTCTCTGTCCCAGTGAGGAGAGGAGAGTACCCTGTGTCCCTGGAGTGCTAAAGGCTTTCTGTGTAAAGTGTTTGGGGTCTCCTACAGCGTCACCAAAAATTGTACCTGTTTTATAGTCAGGGAAACTGAGGCAGCTGAGATGGAGGCTGGGTACCCTGAATCCCTCCAGGTGCTCCTGCAGAGTGATGGGGTAGGATCAGCTCAGTGAGCAGGGAGAGCCCTAGGTGAGGGGTTAAGCACAGCAGGGGATTGTGGCTACAGTGGCTGGAGCACACAGGCCCTGAGCTCCGTCACACCAGCCCCAGTGCCTTCTCTAGTCCTTGGAACACAGGACCGGCAGCAGTAAGTTTCTGCTCTTCCCCAGCGGAGGTGCAGGACTGCTGGATCAGAGGGGGAAAGAGCTGGCTGTGCCAGGATCTGGGGGAACAGCAGTTGACAGACAGGGCCCGGTGTATGGCAGGGCTTATCCAGGTCACACAGCCCTGCATGGCAGTGCTGGAGGCCGCTGTACTCTGCCAGCATTGCAGGATTTTACATCCGCTTTGGGAAAAGTGCTAATCTGACTTTGAAACACTACGGTCACTTGAGAAAAGGCCAGAGGAGCTGGGTGGTAGCAGGTCTGCACAGAGCCTAGCCCAGCGTGTTCAAGGCCCTGGAATCTCTCCCTAGCAGCCCCCAGCACACTGCTGTCACCAACTGGCTTCTTGTTAAAACTCAGGTGGGGACCTGGGTTTACCATGGACGCTGCATGCTGTCCATCCCCCACCTCTGTCTAGTTCTGAACATTGCATCCTACCAGCAGTCCCCTCTTCTCACCTCCAGCCCCTGGTGTGCTTCATGCTGTCAGTTTTCTTTTCTTTTTTTTTTTTTTCTTTCGAGACAGGGTTTCTCTGTGCAGCCCTGGCTGTCCTGGAACTCACTCTGTAGACCAGGCTGGCCTCAAACTCAGAAATCCGCCTGCCTCTGCCTCCCAAGTGCTGGGATTAAAGGCATGCGCCGCCACCGCCCGGCATGCTGTCAGTTTTCACACAGGGTCTTTTGGCTCAGGAAAGGCATGCTGGACTTTTAAAAATCCTCTATTCTGGAACCTAGGATGTAGACTGTGAGGCCAGCCTATACTACAAGACACGCTGAGCCCATGGTGGCCACTTCTCTTCATTTTGTGCATGTGGGGGCTAGTATGATGTCAGGCGTCTATCCTTTACCACCTTACTTTTTTTGTTTTTCTGTCTCTGTCTCTGTCTTTGTCTCTCTCTCTATATATATATGTGTATATATGTATGTATACACATACACATACATATATATTCTCCATCTCATCTGCCTCCTGAGTGCCACAGTGCACACCATGTTGGACCTGTACTGTCCAGCTGCCTGTGGTGAGGTGTACCCTGGCTCACAGATGCCTATGGCACCCAGGTCCTTTTGTTTAGATGTCACTGCTGTGTGGGAACTGTACTGTCTTCAGTGCCTTCAAAGCCCTTTCTATCAATTTGTGTGGTAATGAAAATCCTGTGAGGCAGAGAGGTGCTGGAGTGAGGGCTACCAGGGAAGGGGCACCAGAGAACAGAGGCTGCTAGAAACCGTTTCTGGGTTGTGGCTGTGGACCTGGCAGATTGGGTTTTGCTTAGTTCCTGAGACAGGGTCTTACTTGGCAGTCAGGAGAGCTTGGACCCATGATCCTCCTGCCTCGGTCTCTTGAGTGCTGAATGATAGGCTCGTGACACTGGATTGGCAGATAAAGGTAGATGGCAGTCCTGGAGTTAGGCGAGGTGTTAGTCAGTTTACAGACCGAAACTCAAACCTTAAGTCTACGCTTCCTAAAGACAGGGCTTTTCAGTCACACACAGGGAATACTGCACGGTGAGAACTGCAGGCAGTGTGACGTAGGAGGGCACGCTCTCTCCATCCCTCTCTCCCTCCTTTCTCTTGCCCCTCCTTCCCTTCTTTTTGGAGACAGACTCATGTACTGGCTAGCCTGGAACTTGCTATGTAGCCAAGGCTATGCACCAGTTTAGTCCTCATATCAGGTACTCAGCCTTCCGTTTTACTTGGCTAGTTTCTCTCCTCAGCTTTCCCTTCTCAATGGTGGGGAAAGGAGGTGTTGGCATGGAGGCTACCGCCCATGGCTGCAGATAGTTGAGAGGCTGAGGCAAGAGGAATCCGATTGGAGACTTACGGAGCATGTCCTCCACACCTGTCATCCTGGCACTTGGAAGACCGAGGCAGGAGGAGAAGTTGTCCCTAGGCTAGGGACAGCCTAGACTACATAAAGACCACCCTGTTTCAAAGCCATAAAAGGGGTGTGGTGAATGCTTGCTTAGCATATAGCCCTGGGTTCTGTCCCCAGCACCTTAAAAGTCCTCAGTGCTGATTCCCCTTGGCCCAGCACTGCTCTTGTGCCCACCGCATGACATAGGTGGCAGCCAGACGCTTCCATCACTGGTCAGGTCCCGCCCATCCCCTAGCCCTGCTTCTCATTGGGCCTTGCCTGAACCCTGCCCCCGGCCGGCCACCCGCAGGTAGTGCAGTACATCGGTGAAATCTGCCGCTACCTTCTGAGGCAGCCGGTTCGGGATGTGGAGCGGCGGCACCGCGTTCGCCTAGCCGTGGGTAACGGCCTGCGGCCAGCCATCTGGGAGGAGTTCACGCAGCGCTTCGGTGTGCGGCAGATCGGCGAGTTCTATGGCGCCACCGAGTGCAACTGCAGCATTGCCAACATGGACGGCAAGGTCCGCGGCGCGGCTGCGGGGTGTAGGGTGCGGGGCCGGTCCCTGTCGGTCTCCTACGGCACGAGGACCTTCAGGCCGCCCTTGTCCCCTCACCGCCGTATCCACCCTAGGTCGGCTCCTGCGGCTTCAACAGCCGTATCCTCACGCATGTGTACCCCATCCGACTGGTCAAGGTCAACGAGGACACGATGGAGCCACTGCGGGACTCCCAGGGCCTCTGCATCCCGTGTCAGCCCGGTGAGCGCAGCCCTTGCCTAGTGCCTCGGGGAACTTGGGTCCCCACGGCACCCACACCCACTCAGCCTGAGTGTCACCTCCTCCAGGGGAACCCGGTCTTCTTGTGGGCCAGATCAATCAGCAGGACCCTCTGCGTCGCTTCGATGGCTATGTTAGTGACAGTGCCACCAACAAGAAGATTGCCCACAGCGTGTTCCGAAAGGGCGACAGCGCCTACCTCTCAGGTGCGGAGCCTCGTGGCTGGGCTGGCTGTCAGAATTCGAAGCCTGGTCCCATCTGGCCCTCTCCCCTGCAGGTGACGTGCTAGTGATGGATGAGCTGGGCTACATGTATTTCCGTGACCGCAGCGGGGACACCTTCCGCTGGCGTGGGGAGAACGTGTCCACCACGGAGGTGGAAGCCGTGCTGAGTCGCCTACTGGGCCAGACGGATGTAGCTGTGTATGGGGTGGCTGTGCCAGGCAAGCTGGGGACACAGGGTGGTTGTGGGGTGCAGGAGCCCCATGGAGTTCAACCAGAAAGGACCTGCAGGTACAGTACCCATGGACCATGCACAAGCTGGAGAACTATGCTGCTGACTGACTGACTGGGTGGGCCCCTGGGTTGGGAATCCATCACATTCCTAATGTTGAGCCTCAGTTTGGGGGACCTTTTCTCAGGATCAGAAGGCTGGACACAGGACCCCTTATAAAATGGCTACTACCAGGACTAATGTTATCCCAGTTGGGAGCTCAGAGAGTAATGACCAGGACTAACTTCAGGTGGGCAGGGTGGTCTCAGCTGAGTCCTCTTTTGCAGGAGTGGAGGGGAAAGCTGGCATGGCGGCCATTGCAGATCCCCACAGCCAGCTGGACCCTAACTCAATGTACCAGGAGTTACAGAAGGTTCTCGCATCCTATGCCCGGCCCATGTTCCTTCGTCTTCTGCCCCAGGTGGATACCACAGGTATAGCCCCTGCCCGGGAGCTGTTTACTTCCTGCCCTAATTTAGGCTCCCACTCCCCTGTGTAAATGTAGACCAACAGCCACCTGCCCTGGAACTCAGGAGATCCGCTTGCCTCTAAGGGCTGGCATTACAGGCGTGTGCCACCACAGCAGGGACTGCAGAGCAAGATCCTGTTTCCAAGGAAACAAGAACAATAATATCCAATTATAACAAAAACCCAAGGTACCTCTTGTAGACTTCGGGGTGCAGCTTCAGATGTAGTGGCTCAGCACAAAGACAGCAGCGTGAGGTAGCTGAGTGAATAGGTCTCAGACAACTTAGGTATGTGCAGATCAGACTTTACTCGCTAGCACAACAGGGGGCCACAAGGCCAGGCTTGCTTCTGCCTGAGAGCTGGTATCTTCTTCCTGTCTTGTGGGTGTTCACAGGGAGGTGTCCACTGCTGAAAGGATGCCTGTGCAGAGAGTTGCTTCAGGGTACATACCTCTGACCTTCCCAACCTCCAGGTACCTTCAAGATCCAGAAGACCCGGCTGCAGCGTGAAGGCTTTGACCCCCGCCAGACCTCAGACCGGCTCTTCTTTCTAGACCTGAAGCAGGGACGCTACCTACCCTTGGATGAGAGAGTCCATGCCCGCATCTGCGCAGGCGACTTCTCCCTCTGAGCCTGGCGAGTGGGATGGGCCTGGACTCCTGAGACCTGGGACCTGACACCCTTCTTCAGGTGCTTCTCCTGCCTGGCCACATGGACAGCAGCACTTGTGGGAGTAGGAAACAGGAACCTGAGCAGCCGGGGCCCCTCTCCTACTTCCCACTATGCATCCATCTGGCCTCCGCCTTGATCTTTTTCTCCATCTCTTTTCTCCCTACCCAGCAAGAGCCCCACAAACACATGTTGGCTGCTGTGTCCTGCAGTGGGACCAGTGTCCAGGCTGTAGGTTGCGACCCACACTGGCGCCCACCTCCCTTTCCCTTTGTGCCTTAGGTTACCCTGTGGAACAGGTGGGGCCCACATAGCTAGCTGCTGTCCCTGCTGAGGATTGGTAGCAAGCACACTGTCATGTCAGCTGGGAGACATGCGCAGTCTCCCACTGACCCCCAGTCAACTGAAAATATTACTGTTTTGTATTATTGTTTTGTTTTGAGATAGGGTCTCACTGTGGAGGCTAAGCTGGCCTCAGACTCACGACTCTTCTGCCTCTGGGCACTACTCTGCAGACTCAGACTGATGACACTTATGCATTATTGCCCCTAAGGGTCTTCAGAGTCCTCATTTTCCCCTCACTTCCAGAACTGACTCTGGTCACTTGGATGTGGCTAGCGTTGGCTCTGCCCACACGTGTCAATTCAGGGGTACCCAGGCATAATCCCTGGAAGCCCTCATCCTGGCAAAGCTTGGATGTTCTCACGTCACAGCAGGAGAGAGCCAGGAAGGTTGCTGTGGTGTTCTCTTGGGCACCCCCTAGTGGCAGCCCTGGACATGCTGTATTGTGCACTAGTGCAGATAGCCCAGACCCTGTTGTCTATGACATTTGAGGTCTACCTTTCTGGCTCCCGTGGACCCCACTGAGATCCTTGGTGACTCACTTCAGTTATTAAGCAGGGCCTCTGCCTGCCTTCGTCTCCAAGGGCATGATGGGTATGGACAGGGCAGCCACCAGCTGCCTGCAGTCAACCACACTTGAGTGTTATTTCCTTGTTGGTTTTAAAAAATAAACATGCTGAGGCTTGACACCCGCCAGAGCACAGCATTTCTGTAGGTCGCACCTGACACCCGCCAGAGCACTGCATTTCTGTAGGTCGGTCGCACCTGAGCAGACTCCAGCAGGACACCCACGGCTTGCCCCAGTTAGGGCCACTGTTAACTGATGAGCCGTCCTGACCAGCTCGGGAAGGAAAGCGTTTACTTGGTTTACATACTGTGAATCACAGTCCGTTGAGGGAAGCTAGGGCAGGAAGCTGAGGCAGGAGCTGATGGAGAGGCCATGGAGGATGGTGCCTTGCTCAGCCTTATTAATTTTTAAAAAAGACTTATTTATTTTATGTTTATGAGTACACCATTGCTGTCTTCAGGCACATCAGAAGAGGGCTTCGGATCCCATTACAGATGGTTATGAGCCACCATGTGGTTGCTGGGAATTGAACTCAGGTTCTCTAGAAAAGCAGTTGGTGCTCTTAACCACTGAGCCATCTCTCCAGTCCAGCCTTTTAAATTTTATTTACTGGTTTTTCAAGACAGGCTTTCTCTGGGTAGACTTGGAAATTTGGGAACTCGCTTTGTACGCAAAGCTGGCCTCAAACTCAGACATCTGCTTGCCTCTGCCTCCCCTGTGCAAAGATTAAAGGCGTGGGCCACCACTGCCCCAAGCTCTGCCTGCTTTCTTCAGCTCGGGGATGGCCCCACCCACAATGGACTGGGCTTTCCATCAATTACCAATCAAGAAAGACTGCCCACCAGCTGATCTCTGGAGATACTTTCTCAATGGAGGGTTCCTCTTCCTGAAGGAAAGGATGGGAATGCTGGCACTGGCCTTTTGTTCTTAAATATTTATTTTTATTTACATGAGTACTATGAATACACACCAGAAGAGGGCATTGATCCCATTACAGATGGTTGAGAGCCACCATGTTGTTGATGGGAATTGAACTCAGGACCTCTGGAAGAGCACAGCACATCCCTTTAATCCCAGCACTGGTGAGGAGAGCTCTCCCTGAGTTCAAGACAAGCCTGGTCTACTGTTCCAGGACAATCAGGGCTACACAAAGAATCCGTCTTGAAAAACAAACAAAACAAGCAAAGAAATTAGAAAAGAAAGCAGGCTAAAGAGTAGTTAAGAGCCCTTTAGTGCTCTTCTAGACGGCTCTCAGCACAGGGATGGTGACTCATAACCATCTGGGACTTCACCTGCTCGTTGCAGGAATCTGATATGCACATAGTGTGCATATGTGTGTGTGTGCAAGCATACAAACTAAGATCTAAAAAAATGTTAGAAACTTTTTTCTGAAAGAGATATCTGTGGTTAGCTCAAGCCACCTTTAAGAGTCGTCTTTACTGAAGGCCAGGACTTTACAGAGCAGAGGTTTGAGTAGCTCAGTTTTTAGGTTTTCCATCTCTGAACACTAATGGGACTGACTTTTCACCATTTGTGTATATGTCACAGTGCCAATGAGGTCCAGAGGACAATGTCAGCGCTCTCCTTCCACAGTGTGCTCCTGGGGATGGAGCTCGGACAGCCAGGCTTGGTGGCAAGCACCTTTACTGAATGAGGTTTCGCAAAGGAATTTTTACCTTCTCAACACCATCAGCAAGGCTATGTGTGTTAAAACTACATGAATTTGGGGAAAGCCATTCTGACAGCAACAGGACTCTGGCCTCCATGCTGGCCTGTACAGACAAGGGGAGCTTCAGGCAGGGCCACCAAGCAGGGATTCAGCTTGCTTCCCTCCAGCTTCTGCAGATCTTCCAATTCCTGGGTCGGGCCTTGGTGCCTCAGGGAAGGGTGATGCATCTCCCTGTGGGGACCAGCAAGTGCTAAAGGAGGGCCTGGTATGCAGGCAGTGTGACCCAGCTGACAGCACACTCCTGGGATCTGCACAGTACCCACCATACACTTGACGGAATGACAGTTGGAGTAAGGAGGGCCTGGTATGCAGGCAGTGCGACCCAGATGACAGTAAGCACACTCCTGGGATCTGCACAGTACCCACCATACACTTGACGGAATGACAGTGGAGTGGATCAGGCATGGCTAGTGATAAACAGGCCCAAGGGCCATCTGTTGTCACAATGCAGGGTGTTGTTTGAATGTGTGGTCTAGAAGGAACAGCCACTTCTACCCAGCCAGGCTGCACAGTGAGATGCTTTTTCAGAATAAAACAAGCAAAATAGAAAAGAAGGGATAGCCAGTTGGGCGCAGACACCTGTCATCAAAGCCCTTGGGAAACTGAGAAATAGTCCTAGGCCAACCAGGCCCCACAGGAATACCCCACATCAAACGGCCAGAAGAGAACAGTGCAAAACAGTTTTTTTTTGTGTGTGTGTGTTTCAGACAGGGTTTCTCTGTGTAGCTTCAGCTGTACTGAACTCACTCTGTAGACCAGGAGGGCCTCGAACTCAGAAATCTGCCTGCTTCTGCCTCCTGAGTGCTGGAATTAAAGGTGTGCACCACTGCCTGGAAACTGCCGGCAATTTTTGAAAGCCTCAGTTTTAAAATTGAAAAACAGCTGGGTGGTGGTGGCGCACGCCTTTAATTCCAGCACTTGGGAGGCAGAGGCAGACGGATCTCTGAGTTTGAGAGTTTGAGGCTAGCCTGGTCTAGAGTGAGTCCCAGGACAGCCAGGGCTACACAGAGAAACCCTGTCTTGAAAAAAACCAAAAAGAATAAAATAAAATTGAAAAACAATGAGCCCATTGCCCTTCCCACCCAGAGTTCTATCCATTCTTAACTCTCATGAAGGGGACAGCACTGTGAACCCACCCACACAGTATTCACACTGAGAGGTTGTAGCCGGCCAGTGGCCACAAGTCGCACGGATTCACCTGAAAAGAGGGCTGGGAACGAAAAGGGGACGGAGAGAGAGAAAGATGAAGCCAAGACAAAGTTTTCTGATCAAGGCTTAATGCTTTAATGTTTAGCTTTCAATTTAAAGGGAAAGACGCCGCCTGAACCCTTCCTAGTTTCAGCCGGGAGAGTTGGGGATAATCCATTCTTGGTCACGGGTCACAGCCGGAGATGTCTCAAGGCAAGCCCAGGGTCAGTTCTTCTTTCAAGTTCCTGTAGCAAGATCTGCGTGCAGCCAAGGTGGGTGACTCCACCTAGGTGTCGTGCAGCCAAGGTGGCTAGTTCCACCTAGGTCCTATTATTTGGTCTGTTGTGGTAAACAAGGTCTCTCAGGCCTGCTCAAGGCTGGGAGAAGGACACAAGACCTTCTGGGACTCACTGTCTCTTTTCTTCTTCTCCCCTCTTTCCTTTTGCATCTTTCAAGATGAAGCCTTGGGACTCACGTACACAGGTGGTGCTCAATGGTTAAGTCACACCCACAATCCCTTAACAGGGGATTCTACGAAAGGGCTCCACCCCTGAGCAGGGAGGGCAAGGAGCTAGCCAGAGGCAACAGGCAGACAGGAACCATGGTGCCCAGATGGAGCCAGCCTGAGAAGATCACCAGTCTGGTGCTGCACATGCTTGGGGATTGCAACCCATGTCTGAGGAAACCCCTGCCCAGGGCTATAATGCACTTCTGAGATGACCGCAGACACTCAGAGCACCACTAAGAGAAGCAAGTAAGTGGTGGAGAAATGAAAGAGAGAAACAGAACCATGTGGGTACAATGAAGAGAGACAGAACTGGAGATCTGAGGGTAGTTAGGAACAGCCTGATGTGTGTAGCCAGTGATGCCTGGGGTCCTGGCCTGTGCTGCCACTGGGGACCATGTCTGGGTCTACGACCCAGGAGCAGCCTGCCATCAAAGGTTAGGTGAGCATCCCCGGTCTGGTCTGCTGCTGGATACATGTTGATGTCTGAGGGCTATGCAGAACTGGCCCCACACCTTACCAGGGCATCATGGGAGAGCTGGCCACTCCCATAGCTAGAGAGATGCCCTCCCCTCCCTCCCTCCCTCCCCCCCTCCCTCCCCCCCCCTCCCCCTCTCTCTCTCTCTCTCTCTCTCTCTCTCTCTCTCTCTCTCTCTCTCTCTCTCACTCTTGTCCCTCACCACCTATGGCAGGTCAGAGAGCTGGCCCTGGGGTCATGAGAGAGGGAGAAATAGTCATGATGCTCACCCACTGCAGCATTCAGGAGCTAGGGCCCTACACTGATACCTTGCTTGGGCAGCACAGTTCACCCTGGTTGCAGAGGTGGCTGGTGAGCCAGCCCCACGGGCATGAGAGCAGGAGAGCCAGTGGGCAGAGCAGCTCAGATGTCCCTCAGGCCCAAACCCAGGGCTTTGACTGGACCCACCCCAACATCTACCCCATCAATAATGCTGGAGTGCATGAAGGGGTCGGTCCTATAAATCCACAACTACAGGATCTCCACGACACAGGGCAACGACAGGAGAGCCAAGAGGCATCCCAGTGAAGTTTCAGTATTGATAGTGCAGCAGAAGCCAGAGGCCTTGTAGCAGACCAAGTCTTTGCAACGAACATTTGCAAGCAAAGAAATATGGACAACAGGTTAGACTGTGGGACACCCTGTGACATACTTCAGCTTCCATGAGATTCTTCTCTTGGGGTTGCAAGGGTGGTAGGAAGCTATGAGCAGAAGGGTTGATGAGAGGGGTTAGGGTGCATGGTGTGAAGCTCAGGAAGAAACAAGAAAAGGTTTTTTAAATGTACTCAAAGGCCGGAATGGGGCACACGCCTTTAATCCCAGCACTTGGGAAGCAGAGGCAGGCAGGTCTCTGTGAGGTGGAGGCCAGCCTCATTCAGAGTGAGGTCCAGGACAGCCAGGGCAGCAGCAGCAACAGCAACAACAACAAAGTCTTGAATAACAACTACAAAGTTCTTGCAGTGTTTCACAGTGTATAACTTGCCACTTGCAGCCTCACATGGGCACTCAGAAGGCTGTAGGTTTAGGATTGGGGTCTAGCCAATGGTCCAGCCTGGGCTTAGCATGCAGGAGGCCCTGGGTTCAATCCCAGCATAGTGATTGACTGCTTGGAGTTTGGCGCTCTCCCGAGTTCAGGAGGGTCAGTCTTCTAGGTGCAATGGCTCAGTGGTTAAGAGAACCAGTGTGGCTTCCTATCTTCCTTCCACACTGAGGATCACAACCATCTGACTTAGTTCCAGAGTATCCCATGCCCTCTCCTGGCTTCTGCACGCACTTGGTGCAAAATACACATACAGGAGAAAACTGAGAGGAACCAGAGGGAGTTTATTTGGGTCTTTGTGGTGGGAGCAGCTGTCACCTTCTGAATGATGTACTTGGGTCAAGGCTCTTAACAGTCCTAAAGATTCTGTATTTTCCTAAAATAGCACGGGCAACTGGGAGCCACCTGTTCAAGGACATGGATGGGGGCAGTTTCACATCGAAATGCAGAAGTTCAACTGTCGTGTGGCTGTTGTCTTGGGGAGTCCTCTTTCTGCCGCGGACAGCTGTGAACGGAAGGCCTTAGAAACTGCTCCATCCGCTTGAGTAACACAGAAGAGGGGCGACCGGCTGCGATAGGCGAATGTGGGGAGAGCCATGCAGGCACAGGGACGTCACGGGTGTGTGTGTGTGACAGGGTCCCACTGCTTAGCCCAACCTGTCCTCTAACTCCCGGCTAGCCTCCTGCCCTTGCCACTTAAGCGCTGGCATGAGTGTAAGCCAGCAGGCCTGGCTTACTGACCTTATCACGCTGTAGCTAGGGCACTCTGTGCATGCGACCGCACCCGGAACACCTACTCAACAGTGCACTCCGGTCACCTAATCGAGGAAGGACGATCAGGAGCGTGAAGCTAGCCGGAGCTACATGACTCCAGCTTAAAAACTAAGTAAAATGAGAGAAATCGGGCCAGCAAGGCGTGCCTCGCTCAGGGAAGCACCGTGGACTGCCCGCCCGCCTCCGGATCCCAAACCCCTGAGGAGCACTGTGGTTTCGGGAACAACCCGCTAGCCCGGCCACGGCGACGCTTCATCTGCGCAACTGCACATGCGCGCACGGCCTTGGCTCAAAGCGCTCCGACCCATGGCAGCCCGGCCGCCGCGCAGGCGCACTGGCGTACTAGCCTCTGCCGGGAGCGCCGCCGCCTCCGCGCCGCCATGGCCGCACCCGTGCCCGGTCTCATCTCGGTCTTCTCCACCCCGCAGGAGCTGAGCGCGTCGCTGGCGCAGCTGGTGGCGCAGCGGGCCGCAAGCTGCCTGGAAGGGAACCGTGGCCGCTTCGCGCTTGGCCTGTCAGGCGGCAGCCTGGTCTCCATGCTGGCCCGAGACCTGCCCGCTGCTGCCGCTCCCGCCGGGCCCGCCAGCTTTGCACGCTGGACGCTCGGCTTCTGCGACGAGCGCCTCGTGCCCTTCGAACACGCCGAGAGCACGTACGGCCTCTACCGGGTGAGCGCTGCGGGGGCGCGCACCGCCCGTGCTACGGGGGCCGCCTTGGGCCACGCCAAGTCGGCTCAGCCTGCTGTTGAAACGCAGGCTACGGGGTCCGCCATGGGCCACGCGGAGTCGGCTCAGTCCGCCGAGGAAACGCGGGCCACGCCGAGCTGGCTCAGCCTGCCGAGGAAATGCCAGGAGCTGCTTCAACGCCTACCCGCCGGCTCCGGGCTCCACGGGGTTTTGCTGGATGCTCAGTGATGTCCATCCAAGTCCACCTTGACGGGCCTCGGTCCCCCATATCTTCCTGAGGGCCGTATCTTGGCTGTGGGGCCTCATGGGTCATGGCTGTGCGCTCAGCCTGCCTCTAGTGTCCAGGGTGTGTTGGCCCTCAGTTTCCTTTTTTTTTTTTTTTAACAGGAGCTGTTGGCCATCGCCTCCCAGCAGCCCGGGATATGATGGCCACCAGACGCCCTATAGGGTACAGAGGCCCCTGCTTCAACACACAGGGAAACTGAGGCATGTGGGATTGAGGTCTGAGCACGCTTGGATGACTGCCACAACCTCATAGGGGAAGCTGGCCCGGTGTCATGGGCTCTGAAGCAGGGGTGGGGCCATTACACTTCAGGGTGGGGAAACAGAGGATTCATGTCATCTTGGCCTCACACCTAGGGATCTGAAACTGCACCACTTTGAACACAGTGCCTGCCCAAGAAAGTCACTGAACAGTGGGTGGTGGGTACCAGCTCGAGGCTCAGTTGGTATTGTGCTTGCCTAGAATGCATGAGGTCCAGGCTTCATTTCCAGCGTTATGTAAACCAAGAATGACGGTGCATACCTATCATCCCAGCAATGAGGAAGTAGAGGCTGGAGGATCAGGAGTTCAAGGTCATCCCCAGATGGAGGCCAGCCTGTGCTACATGAGACCATTTTGATGCTGTCCACCCACGAAAAATAAAGCTAAGATCCCTAAGTAGGCCCCTCTGAGGGGACATGGTTAAAAGCCTGGTCTTTGAGAGAGGCAGGAATTCACCACCAGGTGGAGTCTGCTGACACTCTTGATGTTAGAAGTCCATCCATACACTGAGCAGTAGGTGTCTTGCATCTAGGCTGCCCAATGGGCTGAGACAGGAGCCATGTAGAGTGGACTTAGCAGCCAGTTCACCTTTGCCTTCCTGGCTCACAGACCTTCCTATGGCCCTCAGTCTGGAGTCCTGTTGCTCCTCTGTTCTCCAGGGTCCTCAGCCCCCTGAACAGCGGTGGTTACAGAGTCCACAGCACCCCCAGCTATAGGGCATAGCATCCTGGCATTCTGACATTTGCCCCTAGCCTCTCTCTGGCATTGCTCCACTGAGCTGAACTTACCTGAAGAGCCAGGCATGGAGGCACAGGCAGGTCTCAGAGTAGATTGCTGTCCTCTTCCTGAGGCCTACCTCTGTATCGTCAGGTGCCAGCTGTGTGCTGCGTGCAGCCAGGCATCTAATATCTAGACATGTTACTGTCCCTTCCCCTTCCACAGACACAGCTGCTCTCGAAGCTGCCCATCCCAGACAGCCAGGTTCTCACCATCGACCCTGGTCTACCTGTGGAGGACGCTGCAGAGGACTATGCCAGGAAACTGAGGCAGGTGGGTCCCAGGACAGGTGGGAACGCTGCAGAAGACTACGGCAGTGGTGACTGCTTGGGGACACAGACTGTCACTCTGAGGAGTCAGCCATGGTGGGGAGACTTGGGCTGGGGCCTCACATCTCAGGGACACTCGTCTGCAGACCTGACATGGAAACCACGCCCCCAGGCTGGATCAGTCTGGTGCGGTAGCGCATCTGTGACACCAGCACTTGGGAGGCTAAGGCAGGAGGCTTGTTGAGAGTTGAGGCCAGCTTGGGCTGGAGGATGATGCTTACCCTCGGAAAACCCTACAGACCTCATGTTAAAGCTGCCCTATGCAGAAGTGGCCACTGTTGTGTAGGGGTGTGCAGAGCAGGCCAGTGACACCGTCAGCGGAGGGTGGTCAAAGCGGAGATAGAAACCTGCTTTCAGTTTCCTTGTGTGTTACCTCTGAGCTTGCACACACTTGACCCGCCATCCTCCTGTCAGGCCTTCCAAGGAGACGCTGTCCCTGTGTTTGACCTGCTGATACTGGGAGTGGGCCCTGATGGGCACACCTGCTCGCTCTTCCCTGGTCATCCCCTCCTACAGGTGAGCTTGGGGGTCCCCTCCTGACACTGATCCACCAGGGTCTGTTTCAGTCTGATGGGTATCTGAGCATCCATGCCCCAGCCCCACCCTGCAGAGTGTCAATTCCTGTGGTCATGGTGGTGCCTAGCATCTCAGCACTTGCTGTGAGGCTGAGGGCCACCTGGACATGGAGTAAGACCCTGTCTCAGAAACCCAAAAGACCAACAGGAAAACTTGTTGGCATTGCAAACCTGGGGCCTGGCGGGGGCTGGGTCCATCCCAGTGCCACAAACACAACAGAAAGGTAGAAAGGCCTGTCCTCACCTGGCTGCCTTCCCCAGGAGCAGGAGAAGATTGTGGCTCCCATCAGTGACTCCCCAAAGCCACCACCGCAGAGGGTGACCCTGACGCTCCCTGTGCTGAACGCAGCCCAGAGTGTCATATTCGTGGCCACGGGGGAAGGCAAGGCAGCTGTGCTGAAGGTAGGGAAGGGACGGTCGAGGTCAGCCGGGGGACGTCCCTGGAACCCAGGGCAGACATGCCTCTAGTGTGTGAGAGGGCCACAGCGCCCTGGGGTAGAGTCCCTGTACCCTCTCCCCCCAACTTCTTCACAAACAGGATGCTGGGGCTATGGTCTATCTCCAGGCTCAGTGAGAGGGTGCTGGGGCTATGGTCTATCTCCAGGCTCAGTGAGGGACTCTGTATAAAGGGAATAAGGTAGAGAGTGAGAGAGCAGGACACTAGACACACACATTTAAAAAGAAAGAAAGAAGAAGGAAAAAAGGCCAGGGTCAGAGCAATAGCTACCAACTGGTGAATACCTGTTGCCCTTCCAGAGGACCCGAGCTCCATTCTTGACCAGCTGGAGCTCTAGTCCCAGGGGAGCCAGTGCCCTCCTCTAGCCTCTGTGGGTACCAGGCATACCCGTGGTGCGCAGAAATACATGTAGGAATAACACCTACACACATTAAATAGAAATAAGTAAAAAAGAACTTGCGCCGGGCAGTGGTGGCTCACGCCTTTAATCCCAGCACTTGGGAGGCAGAGGCAGGCGGATTTCTGAGTTCGAGGCCAGCCTGGTCTACAGAGTGAGTTCCAGGACAGCCAGAGATACACAGAGAAACCCTGTCTCGAAAAAAACAAAAACAAAAAAACAAAAAACAACAAAAAAAGAATTTTCAAAAAGAGGAGGGCAGGGATGGGGCAAGATGGCTTAGTGGATAAAGGTGCTTGTTCCGAAGCCTGACAACCTGAGTCCAGTTCCCAGTACCTTCTGTTGTCTCCATACTGGGGAGGCAGAAGGGAGGAGTCCTTGGCTAGATCCCGTGTTCAAGGGCAGCCCGTGCTAGATAAGGCCCTGCCTCCTAATAAAAACAAGAAACAAATCTTATTCCACACCGCGAAGCTTTGGAGCCCACAGTGTGTGAGGCGGAGTGCAGAGCAAGATCCCGTGGGTCCCCCCTCCCCAGACGGAACAGATGCCCAGTGCGAGCCTCAACTGGCTCTGCGCTGCCTCTGAGGCGGGTCCTGGTTTCTGCACACAGCGCATCCTGGAGGATAAGGAGGGCGCGCTGCCCGCTGCCATGGTGCAGCCAAGCACGGGCGCCCTCTGCTGGTTCCTGGACGAGGCCGCTGCACGGCTGCTGTCCGTGCCCTTCGAGAAGCATTCCACGTTGTAGGGGCCGCGCCACGCACCCCGTGGGCACTTGAGGTCGCGGGAGCTGTGGGAGCGGACTAGCTGCGGATTAAACAGCTTTGCTGTAACTCTGGTCCCTGTGGTTCTTGGTGGCGGAGGGCGGGGCTGGGCAGGGTCGACGGAGCCGAGCGCACAGGGACCAGAGGAGTGCAGCTTGGACTTCTTTCTGGCCGGCAGTGTATGCACTGCTCCAAGTCAGGCCACATTCTCTGCTCCAAGGGTCGGAACCAACTCACGGGTGCCGGGCCCTCGCGGTCCCAAGTGGCTGCTTGTGTTCCAGCCGCGGTGAAGGGAAGAGGACACCTGGGGACTCAGCCAGAGCTTGAGGATACACTGTCTCCTTCAAGCCTGCTCAGGGCCTTGAGCAGGGTGAGCTACCTTAAACTTCTCCTGATGGTGTCACGGGCCTCATACCAGTGGGAGAAGTGTCTGAGGTGACTCTCGGGATGCTCCCTTAGACAGTTTTCTCTCTTGCCTCTTGCAAAGACTGGGATGTGGGTCCAGAGGCTGGGTGTGATGGCTGGAGGGTAAGCAGCCACCTTGGAGCCTGAGGTGGATCGGTACATCGTTGGCTTACCAGTTTCCAGGGACTGGGGAGGCAGAGGGAGCATCCCCTCACAAAGGTAATACAAGCCGGGCATGAGGTGGGAACTGAAACCTGCCTGAGCAGGTAGGCCAAAAGGGCGGGGCCAGAACTACAAATGTGAACTTTCTTCAGATGTCTGGTCCCTGAGGGCTCCTCAGCTGTGACAAAGAGGAAGTAGGATGGGCTGGGGCAGAAGCCAGTGGAAAATCCTCCTGGGGACTGCTACAAGAGTAGGTGCCACCCACCCAACAGCCAAGCAGAGGGTGAGATATCCCAAGAAAGGAAAGTGATGTAGGCATGAGGACCCCATGTGATCGCTGTGTGGGACATCTATCACCTCCTGTGTCCCTGTCGCAAGGGCGACTTTACTGCTTTGCTGTTGATGCATAGGATCTGCCTCATGCTCCAAGGTGGCTGCTTACACTCCAGCCTTCACATCCAGCCTTGGAAAGGGAACAGGAAGTTGCCTAAGGGAGCAGGCTACATTAGGACGGGTGTGTGTGGAGGGGTTCCCTACACACTGATAACCTACACCCCTGCTCATTCATTTGTTCAGTCAGCAATCCATTCCTTTGGCTTTCAGAAACAGGACTTTATGTAGCCCAGGTTGGCCTCCATAGCCTAAACTCAGAGCCACTGCTTTCTGAGTGCTGGGATGGCAGAGATGTGCCCTCCCTCCCACCCACCCATCTGTGCTAGGGTGTTGGTTTTTTCCCACACTCCTTTGGTCTCCCCTGGGGCTGTCCCCACTACCCCCAACAGAAACCACCCGTCTTGGTCCAGCCTGTCCCCAGAGGCCAGGAGGAGGCAGGTGCAGACAGGAGGGCTGGGGGTGGGATCATATGGTCATATGTACCCTCCTGGCACTCGGGCCACTCAGCTGTCATCCAGCATCCTGAGCAGAGGGACCCAGGACAGCTCTGTACGGTGGCAGGATGGGGGCACAGCCTTCCTGCCCCCTGGGCAAACGGCGGCAACAGCAGCTTCGGGGTGAGCTGAGGTCAGGGTCGGGTCATGCTGCCACTGCGTGGGAGGCCACCGGCATGTGCTCCTGGTGCCAATGTAGGGTTCAGTATTTCAACTGTCTCTGGTCTTGCCAGGGGTGGGCTTGTGTTGGAAGATTTCAGATTTTTCTGTTCGGTTTTTCGAGACAGGGTTTCTCTGTGTAGCCCTGGCTGTCCTGGAACTCACTCTGTAGACCAGGCTGGCCTCAAACTCAAGAGAGATCAAAGGCACATGCCATTGTGCCTGGCTCTGGAGGATTCCAGATTTAAATGAAATCCAAGTAGCTGAATACAGTGCACACTGCCGCCCCAGCAGTTGGGAGGCAGAGGCAGGCCGATCTCTGTGAGTTCCAGGCCAGCCTGGTCTACAGAGTGAGTTCCGAGACAGCCTGGGCTATATGCAACCCTGTCTCAAGACAAAACAAAGTGAAATGTGAAGTGTTTGATTTGTTAGTTCACTGAGGGTAGGGGTGAGGGCACAGGCAGGTGCAGGGGTCCCACCTGACCCCAGGTGGTCACTGAGGCTGGGAAGTCTGTCTGATGGACACTGGGACTGGACTAAGGCTTAGCTGTCCGTGCGACAAAAGCCAAGGCCAGGCTGAGCTTCAGTTCCCTGTGCTGTCCACCTGGACCTGGGAGAGTGTCCGGACCAGCAGCACTTGGTGGGTGTTCCCAAGGGAGGTGGTTAGGCCAGGCTGGAGGAGGGCGTGTGGTTACTAGTGAGGGTGGAAACAGCATTTGGGAAGGGGAACAGCCCAGGCAAAGCCCTGCACATGCTGCCGACTGATATCTCTCCAAGTCCCAGGATTGACTACTACCTGCATTTGCTGTGTGCCACTGAGTGAATGAATTGCCCTCTCTGGGCCTCATTCTCCTGAGACACAGCAGTCTATTCGGATGAAAGACCTTCGTGTGTGCACATGTGCTTGCCAGCGATTAGCTTCAGCTGTCCTCTGGGACTGCCTTCCTCCTTATTCACGGAGGCATGGTCTACGCCTGCACTCACTGGTTCTGGCTACTCCAACTAGCCAGCTGGCCCTGGGACGGGAGGCAGGTGCCCTGGTCACATTGCTGGTCCCTCCTCACTACAGGACAGGTGGATGGCATGCTGAGGACCTTCCTGCCCTGTTACCGCAGGCAGCTGGCAGCAGCTGTGCTCAGGCACATCTCCCGGGAGCTGGGACCCCAGGAGCCAGCCGGGTGCCAGCTGTCCCACACCAAAGTACGTACCACCAAGGATGCGGCTACCTGCCAGGCACCTGCAGGGCGCCTGGGGACCCAGTTGTCGTTCTCTTGTGTTCTCAGTGGCGCCGACCTGAGACTGCGGGTGTGGAGCTGGGGAGGGCCAACGGCAGGGCTTTTGCACAGGTGGACCAGGGAGCTCTGGAGGTAGAGGCAGGCTGAGGCGGCTTGGGGAAGTGAATCCCCTGCAGGGGCATAGCATGTGCAAAAGCCCTGAGGTTGGCAAAGACAGGCTAGATATGAGGGGAGTGGGGCCCAGTGTGCCTGCTCCGACTGTTGCAACCACCATGCCAGGGAAACTCTTCAATAAGATCCCGTGTCTTTTGTCCCCTTGTCCCTCTGACCCTGTGCCTGTAGGCTCCCTGCTCTTTGCAGCTCAGAGGTTGTTACTGAGATCTAACAGCCTGAAGCTGGAGCTACTAATAGGGTTCTGGGGCCTCCATCTGTCCCCTATCTTGGGAGAGTCTTTGACCAATGAGGAAATTCAGGACCAGAGAGGTAGAGTGAGTACCTAAAGGCCACAGAGCACAGGTGCAATTGGAACCTGGGATTTCCCACTGGCTCCTTCCCCTCCCTGCTGAGGGGACAGAGGCCCTGCCTCTGGGGACTCTCTCTGTCCCATAAAGGGTATCCCCCATGCCTGCTACAATTTTGTTTTGTTTTGAGATGGAGTGTCATGTAGCTGGGCTAGTCTTGAATTCCTGCCGCTCCTGCCTCAGCCTTCCTTCCCAGTGCTCAACTAACAGGGTGTGGACAGCAGCTGCTGCCTTTGAGCTCTGGGAGTGTTGCTGGTATGTGACCAAACCCAAGGGTTCAGACAACCCCCACATCTGCTCCAGCCACAGCCTGCATTCCTTTGCAGAAGCTGCCTCGAGTCAGGGAGCACCAAGGACCCTTGACCCTGCTTCAGGGCTGCCAGCCACAGTGGCAACCCACCTTCTGTGTTCTGCGTGGAGATGGACGTCTGGAATGGTTCAGTCACAAGGAGGTCAGTGGACATAGAATCCCTGCTCATAATCACCCAAGGAGGGACTGGGGGCGTGTCTCGGGGGCGGGCCCTGAGCAATAACAGACATAATCACCCAGGGAGGGGCTGGGGGGGTGGCTCCCTGCTCATATTTACCCAATGAGGGGCTGGGGGCGTGGCTCAGGGCCGTGTTTCCCTGCTCACAATTACCCAGTGAGAGGCTGGGGGCGTAGCTCGGGGGCGGGCCCTGAGCAATAACAATTACCCAGGGAAGGGACTGGGGGCGTGGCTCAGGGGCGGGACCCTGGGCCATAACAGACATAATTACCCAGTGAGGGACTGGGGGCGTGGCTCAGGGGCGGGGCCCTGGGCAATAACAGACAAGGCCCTTAGTTGTACAGATGGCCTATAGAGGGTTAGTGGAGTGTGTTGTGAGCTGTGTATGTTCTCGCTGACTTGTCTCCTGTACTGGAGAGCGGTAGCCAGTTTGGTCTCCGTGTCTTTGTCACAGGAATATGAGTCTGGGGGCCGTCCGCTGGGCTCTGCAGCTCTGACCGGGTATACACTGCTCACATCCCAGCGTGAATACCTCTGCCTTTTGGATGACCTCTGCCCCAGCTCATGTGGTAAGGACCTCTTGGTCCCCTTAGTCATTTTCCTTCCTCCCAGTCCTTCGGCATTGCACATCCCTGTGCACTTTGTGAAGCTGCCCTGGGCCTCCTCCACCTCTAGCAGTTTCCTACCTACAGTGTGTGTGACTCTCAGCATGTCTGCAGATGCTGCCACCCATCCCTTGGCGGGTGGCTTTGATCCTTGAGTGAACACTCTTGCTTTGGGAAGGAAAAGAAGCACCCACTGTTCCTGGGAGGAGGTCAGTTAATGCAGCAAAACCCAAAGAGCAGACTGTCTAAGGAACCAAGCAAAAGTACTGCTGGTGGCATGGTGGCACACGGGGAGGCAGAGGCAGGGTCTGTACAGCGAGCTTCAGGCTGCCAAGGCTACATAGTGAGACTCTGATCACCCACATAGTGGTTCACAGCCAGCTGTAACTCCAGTTTCAAGGGATCTGAAGTCCCCTTCTGACCACTGCAGCTGCCAGGCATGTCCTTGTATATACATACACACTGGGAAAACATTCCTACACATGAAATAAAGTTAAAAAAATCTTAAAATAAAAATCAGGTGTGGTGGCACACGCCTTTAATCCCAGCATTCGGAGGCAGAGGCAGGTGAATCTCTGAGTTCAAGGACAGGCTGGTTTACAGAGTTCGTTCCAGGACAGCTACACAGAGAAACTCTGTCTCAAAAAACCAAACCAGACCAACAAAAACGAAATTAAATGAAAAGGGGTGGGGACTGGAAGGACGACTCTGTGGACTTGAGTTTGATCCTGGCATCGGGCTGCTGGAAACTGCCTGGAACTTCGTCTCCAGGGGATCTGATGTCTTTGACCTCAGGTATCTCTGCATGCACAGTAACGCGCGCGCACACACAAACACACACATACACACACAGGCATACAGGTGATTAAAAATAATAAAAAAACATAATATGCAGTGTCAGTAATCCTGCAAGGAGACAAACATAGTGGGAAGCAGTGGGCAGGTTTGGGCCAGCATACAAGCCCACCTGGGGTCCTGGGCTTCCGGTTCCTGTCCCTGTTGACCTGCTCCAACAAGTTGTAGAGAACAGTCGATCTTGCAGGGTCCACTCGTCTTAGGGCTTCTGCTGTGTGTAGTTTTTGAGACAATGTTTTCTAGACTTTCAGACCGTCCTGTAAATCACAATCCGATGACAGGACACTCTACACCGGGCTCTTTCAGGCTGCTGTCCTAAGGGAATAAACAGAGGCCTGAAGGGCGACTTCTCTTGCTTTCAGGAGACCTTGCCCAGGAGGAGCCGCTGCGGGTGCTGGAGGAGCCCGTGAGCTTTGTTCTTTTCCTCGTGCACCCTTTCCGAGCTCACCTCTGCTTCTGCGCTTGCTCTCGGGAAGCCCAGCGCGCCTGGAGGCTCAGCCTGCAAGGTGCCATTCGTCTGAGAGCCACCGGTGCGTCGCGGGAGCAGCGGGGTGCAGGCGGGAAGGGGCGGGAGTTAGATGGGCGGCGGAGGTGCGGTGCTCCCTGAGCACAGCGTGCGCTTGATTGCACCTTCAGTTCTGCAGCGCAGCCGGGCGCCTGCAGCTTGCGCCTTCCTGGACGCCGTGCGGCTCTATCGACGACGCCGGGGCTATGCTGGTGGAGACGACGCGACACTGGGCTCCGACGCAGAGGTGAGCGGTGTCCCGCAGACCCCGGGTGTGTTCCGCCGTCTGCCGCCCAACAGCCCCATGCCTCCCCTTCAGGTGCTGAGCGCTGAGCTGATGCGGGAGCTGTTGCCCGTGCTGCGAGCACAGACGCTCCGAGGCCTGCGCGGTGCGGGACGCGCCCGAGCCCGGGCCTGTGCGGAGGTGCGGAGCGCGGAGTGGCAAGTGGAAGGGGAGAGAGAGAGGGGACCGTCCTAGGTCCCACGCGCTCACCCAAGCTGCCTTCGAATTCTACAGTTCCTCGACGCCGTGCACGCGGCTGTCATGGCCTGGGTGTCCTCGGGGCTGCGTGCCTTCCAGCCAGAAAAGGACGCACTATTGGCGGCGCTGGAGAGGATGGTGCGCACAGACCTTGAACACATCCTGCAGCAGCGCGCCCTCGGGGCACAGAGAATAGAAGGTGAGAGGGGCGGGGCGGGAGTGGGGCCTGGGAAAAGGGGCGGACCACAGGTGAGAGGTGGAGCTAGTAGTCCCCAAGAATGTGTGTGTGTGTGTGTGTGTGTGTGTTGGGGGTAAGGCTGCCTGGTGAGCAGGGTGGGGTCACGGAGCGAGGAGAGTGGCTTGGGGGGGTGTTGGCGCTAGAGGCCGAGGGGCGGGGTCATGGATGTTAGAGGCGTGGCCTGACCAGAGCGAGCCTGGAATTTCCAGAGCGGGACCTGCTAGCAAGGGAGGGTGGCCTGGAGGCAGGATCAGGGCGGAGCTTACAGGAAAGAAGGCACTTGCTTGATGAGGCAGGGTCTGTGATGGTGGAAGGCGGGGCGTAGTGGGGCGGGTCCTGGGATCTTAACTTGGCTAAGTAGCAGATGTGGCTTAGAGTCACATACTGGATCCTAGTGGGAAGAAGCCCAGAGAAGGGCACCGCGACAGGGCGTGGCCTAGAGCCTGGAGGGACCAGGCCTGTTAAACTGTGGGCCAGGTAGGGAGGCAGGAGGTAGCTGTGGCCTTGCAGGATCTGCTCTGCTGCCCAATTATCAAGACCCGGGTTTGAATCTCCTTCCACTTCCTCTGCCTATGCCTTTGGGCCAGGTCTCACTGCTCCTAGCCTCAGTTTACCAAGCTGTAAAGTGAGTATCCAGCTGGCCCAGCTGAAGTGGGAAATCACCAAGCCCATATTTCCCCTCAGCCGAGATCCAGGACTCAGTAGAGGTATGCCTGTGCGGGAAGGTGGACCCACAACTGCCCCAGCTTACCCTTGCGCTGCTGAGCCCTGTGGAAGCCACGCTCCAAGCTGTTCGGACCCTTCTCATCCGAGGGATGGACCGGCTGTGTCACTACCTTCGCAAGAATCCTTCTGGCACTCAGCTTCGCAGGGAGGTTAGCACGTGGGCCAGTAGCGGCTTGTCCACTTTGGTCAGTCTGTGTCAGAAGCCAAGGATAATTTCTCATCCAACTGGTATGCATGCATAGGTTTATGAATTTGGGGAGATGCCATGGGACCCAGAGCTGATGCAGGCTTGCTACCGGGAGGCAGAGAGGATCCACAACCATCTGGCCCAGCTGGCAAAACCCTTTGGCTTCCTGGGGATACGGAGCCTGGTGTTTGGGGCCCAAGACCTTGCACAACAGGTGAAGTGAATGGGAAGGGTGCTTTGGCCACATCCCTGGCAGAGAGATGTACATATATGGAAAAGGAGTGGTCCAGCTAGAGAGTGCAGCGCCTGTGAAGAGCAATACGGAGCTCATCCGGTGTGTGAGCAAGGACGGGGCATGGCTGGGGCAGGTCTGCTGTCAGGAGCTCATCTGTAAAGGACAGGGATGGAGGAGGCTGGGACAAGCCCTAATCCAGATGTGGTGTAGTTGGACAGGCTTGTCCTAGCACTTAAGAGGTGGAGGCAGGAGGATCAGGATATCAGGGCTGTTCTCAGCTTCATAGTGACTGAGGGCAGTATCCATTATGTGAGATCCTGTCTCCAAGAAGAAGGGCATGTTTTGAAGGCTGAGAGGTTAGGCCTTGCCGTGAACATGGTGCATGAGGGAGGAACTGACCAAGGAGATCCACCGAGCCTGGCACAGTTTGTACACTGCACAGCAGTGCTCCCTCAGGGAGGCTGACCTCTGGCTGGTACCATCTTCCAGACAGAAGGAAATCTTTCCTGAGACTAGCCCCTGGAGGAATAGGCAGGGGACAGGCCAAGTTCAGCTGCTGGGGAGGCGTCAGGCATTAGGAGCCTGCAGCCAGAACAGGGGTCCTGAGGTAATGAGTTGTCTGGTACTTTCTTCACAGCTCATGGCGGCTGCAGTTACCACCTTTCTGCAGCTGGCTGACCAGTGTCTGACATCAGCTCTGGACTGTAGCCAGGCAGCTGCGCAGCTGGAGAAAGTCAGGGGCCTTGTGCTGAAGGTGAGGTGTGTGGAGGGGTCCCCGTGGCCAGAGTTCTGAGGGCCATTACACAGGCTGCCTGTGACCCCTGCAGAAGTTCAGCTCGGACAGTGAGACCACTCTATGGAGGTTCACCCGGGACTGGCTGCTGGGGATCTTCTGGCCCTTTGTATGGAGCGAGCTTGAGATGAGATGTAACTTGGTAAGTGGACACCTGAGAGATCTGACTGGTGGGGATACAGTGCTCCTCAGGTTGGGTGGGGGTCTCTCTTGGGCTTCCACCATGCTCTTTGCTTTCTTGGGAATCTTGGTTCCATAGCCCCCTCCCCCCGCCCCCGTGCACTAGCCACACCTCCCAGAGTTCTAGCCGAGCTCTGCTGAGCACACAAGCTTGCACAATGGGTCTAAGTTTATAGGAGAGAACCTATGCAAAAGTCACAGGGCAGGACTAGGCCAGAGAAGAATCAGCTGAGGCTGGGATTGAGAGAAGAGACACTGGGAAGGTTGTGGGTGGGGTGAGTCCAGCCTTCCAGCTACCTAAAGGTCAGGGCCACCAAGTATAGGTATGTCTCAGGTGCTAACAGGACACTCAAGGGCCACAACTGTGGCATTTGGGAGGCAGGATGGATGTGTGGGCCTTAGTCCATTTCTGACACATGCTATAGCATGTGGGGTTGTGGGCAAGCAAGTCCATGTTCCAGAGAGGGAAAAAAGCCAGAGAACCCAGTAGATCAGGCCAGGGCTGGGAGAGCCCAGGCCCTGTGTCTAGCCATGTTCCTATGTGGTCCTAGGAACCGCTGGAGGTGGATGGGGACATCCTGGCCACGGGCTGCCAGGTTCTGACCACCGAAGGTGTCTACAGGGATGTCATCCAGGGCCTCTTGCTGCAGAGGATTGACAGAGGTGAGCTCCCCACTGTAGCTCAGAGAGCCTCTTGTCCCTGTCTGTGCACAGCGAGCCTCGTCCAGTGCTCCATGAGGTGCTTTCTTGTGGACGGTGGCACAGGCCTGGAGGGTCTGCGTGTTGGAGCTGCATGAAGGAGAAGCACTGGGATGAGGTTGTCAGGGTTACGGTAAAGTTCTCTGGAAGATGAGAGAGGCAGTTGTCAATAAACATGTATTTATTCAACAAACACTCCCTGGCACCCGCGAGCTGTTGGTACGGAATGCCAGTCAAGAGCTCTGGGGAGCTTACAAAGCTGGTCTTTGAAGATGGTCGAGGGAAGAGGGACCTAGAGGGTTAGAGGAACGGCAGAAACAGATGGTGACACCCCTGGAGCCAGGGAACAGAAGGAGACTGTGTCTATGATGTGTCCAAACAAGAAAACTGGAGCTGAGGTGGTGATGGAAGCCTGCCATCCAAGCAATCCTCCTGCCACAGACTCCTGAGTGTCTGAGCCCACATGGCCAGGAGAGCACAAGTTTGTTTGTTTGTTTGTTTTAATGATTTATTTTTCTTTTTTGTGCATTGATGTTTTACCTCCGTAAACAGATCTGGATCTGGAGTCACAGACAGTTGTGAACTACCATGTGGGTATTAGGAATTGAACCTGGGTCATCCAGAAGAGCAGCCAGTGCACTTAATTGCTGAGCCATCTTTGAGAGTATAAGTTTTAAATGGCTCCAAGCTAAGTCCAGAAATGGTGACCTAGATGAATTTCTGACCCTAAGGCTTGTGTTTATCCTTAGGGGAATCCTACCTGCCATTGATTTGTGATGTCTGCACAGAGCAGCAGTGTTGGGTAGGGCTGCCAGTCTCCTGGCTAGGTGGAGTGCAGGTATCTGTTAGCAATGTCTGTCCTTGGTGAAGTGTTGAAAGAGGTTTCTGAGAGCCAAAAGCTGGGTATCCTCAGCTAGGCCCAGGGTTTATCTCTTATTCTAGAGTTGAAGAAGGTTCTTGGTGCCAGTGGCAGAGCTAGCTGACTGCTCAGTAGCCCAGTGGGACCAGGAAGGAGCAGGTGAGCACTTTACAGGTTCTGGGGCGTGACAAGGAATAACTGTGGCTGCACAGAGTGTTTAAGAGTGTGTCAAGAGTGGAGTGGATGGAAAAGAACGGACTTTATCTCCTAACATGGCCCGGCTGGCCAGAGTCATGGTGAACAGGTGGAGAAGCCACAGGCTCTAACACAAACATGGGTGGAGATGCTGACAGGACAGGTTTTGGGCCCCAGTTCCTGCAGCCTAGACACACTGGGATGGATATCTTCTTGGGAGTTACTTTCTGTTAACAATACTGAGAGGGAGGATAGTCCAAAGACCCTTGGTATGGGGAGAATTTTATGTGCCTTCCACCTGCCATACATACCATGGGGACCTGAGTCCATCCCTTTAGGCACATTCAACACTATGAGTGAATCCCTGTGGGATCTCAGGGTGTGAAGAGGCAGGCTAGCATTTATTCGGGGATCTCCAGAGTGTCCTCGCACAGCACAGTCAGTTTCTCTTGATTTGTGAGCCCTGTCCACGCTTCTTCTGCCTCGTTACCTGTGTGGCTCCTTCAGGCCCCACACCAGCTTGTAACAAGTGACATCCTTGTGTCTGGGAAGGTAGGGAACATCCAGGTGACAGTTGCCATTTCACAGAGGAGGAAGCTGAGGCTCAGAGCTGAGAGAGAGAGAGAGAGAGAGAGAGAGAGAGAGAGAGAGAGAGAGACACAGAGAGAGAGAGAGACAGAGACAGAGAGGGAGAAAGAGAGAAAGAGAGAAAGAAAAAAAGAGAGAAAGAGAGAAAGAGAAAAAGAGAGACTAACTGACTGACTTACTCTGCAGGCTAAATGCAGCCACTCCATACAACATGGCTTCCAAGAACATTCCAGAGCTGTGTCTTAACCCATCCACATCCATCCTGGAGGACAATGGATAAAGACCTGGAGTGGCCCCCTTGGGCCAAGTATAAAAATGCTTCTGGCTTTGTAACTGTTATATATCCACTAAAGCATCATAGATGGTATATTCTTGCTAAAATTTGTATACTCAATTTCTGAGCTAGCCTGGGCTACCGTAAGACACTGTCTCTAATAAACGACCCAAAACTTCTGTTAATATGACACATGTAATCCCTTTAATTTCACTTTTATCTTTATTTTTTCTTAAAAATCTGTACGTTTCTTAAAGTTTCTTTTTAAATTTGTTTGCCTTGTATGTGTGTGTGCACGCACAGGCGTGGGCCTGTGGAGGTCAGAGGACAGTTTACAGGAGTTGGGTTTTCTCTTTCCATCTAGCAGGTCTTGAGGACCAAAGTCAGGTAGTGGCAAGCACCTTTACCCGGTAAGCCATCTCACTGGCCCTGTTTTTACATTTATCGATTGCTTGATTACAAATCTGCTTAAATGACTAAATTGAACTTTTAAATGCCCAGGGCTGCGAGCTTGATTGACCAGAGCCTTGCAGGAACTCTCTGCCCACAGGCCCTGGGAACCCCTGTCCTGCCTTCCGGGCCAGCACTGCCAACCAACCTTTCCCTCACCTTGCGCGCCCCCCCCCCCCCCCCCCCCCAGCCACCTCCCCAGCTGTCTCCGGATCCAGGGGCTTTTCCTGATGCTCCCTGCAGGATCTGGAGGAAGCGAGGAGGGGGTGTGGACCAGGAAGGGTGAGGGGGGAGGAGGACAAAGACCCAAGCAGTACAGCTGTGTTCCCCCCCCCCCCCCCCCCCCCTGCACTAGAACATTTTAACTTACACATCTTACACATCTTGCATCTCTCTGGCTGCAGCCAATCTCCACTGTGATCCAGGCTACAATACAGATGCTAATTCTGGAATCAGGGCATGCAAGAATGTGTTCTACTGCTTTCTTTGAGAGCACCTGTTGGCTGCCAGAGCCAAGGAAGGACCCGCTGTTGTTTTAGTTTATATCCGTGATGTGAGATTTCATGAAGTCTACATGAAATAGACTTTGGTTTTTCAGATTTTTTTTTTTTAATGAAAAATTTCAAACATGTGCTCAAATTGACACCCATATATACGCCCAGCACTGACCAAGTTAGCTTGCCCTGCCACCCCTCAGACTGAGTAGTACCTTTTTCCCAGAAATACACAAACATGTATTTACTTGGGAGAGTATCAGACATTTCTTTGTATGATAACAGGTCTGGACACTTTGTAACCAAGGCAGGCCTCCAACTCCCAGGGATCCTCCTGTCTCAGCTTCCCAAGTATTGGAATTTTAGGTGTGTAATCCCAAGCCTGGGGAAAAGTTTATTCTTGTTTTTCCATTTTCTCTTGTTTTTAATTTAAATGTACTCTCATGTAACCCCAGCTTCCCCAAACCTTTCCCTGTAGCTGAACATGGTCTTGAAACCATTATCTTGACCTGGGAGTGACAGGTTACCCATCACTAGCTAAGAATTACTATTTATAAATGTTGTTAGCATGATTATGGGCAAATAAATCCTGGAAAGGCTGGGAGATGGTGGCACATGCCTTTAATCACAGTACTCCTGAGGCACAGACAGGAGAATCTCTTGAGTTCCAGACCAGCCTGGTCTACACAGTGAGTTCCAGGACAGCCAGACCTACACAGTGAGACCCTGTCTCAAAAACAAAACAAAACAGCCTGGAAGGGTTTCCATGGAAACAAGGGCAGTGTCTCCAGAAAACCGACTCCACTGGGTTCTAGCTTCATACCCTGAGAATACCTCTGAAGTCACTCATTTTGCAGAAGGACATTGTGGGTGGTCTTTGGTTTCTGACCCGGAACAAGGGACTGAGGTGCATATTTTACATTCATCTTCCAGCATCCCTCAGTCCTGCCTGTCATACCCTGAGCCCAAGCTTGAACATCCCAGCCCAGGGCCTTAGGCTGCCCTTTCCCAGACATTTTAGCCTCTCCTCCTCCCTCTCGCCCTCCTATTCTCTCCTTCCTCTGCAGACACACCTTTTCTCTTTCTCCCCTCCCCTATGGTGACTCCACTCAATCTTTGGGGCCAGTGAGTGCAGCTCCCCAATAAAACTACCTGCCTTTAATACCATCTAATCTGGTGTAAGTTGGGTCATTTCACCAGTGGTGGAGAAATAACCTATCAGGAGGTGTCTTGTGGACCTCTGAGAGGCTAGGGACCAGAGTAGGAAAATCTATGTGGATTTTACCAGTCTGCTGGCCTGATGGTACATGCCTGTCCCAGAACACAGGAGAATGAGGCAGAAGGATCACTGAATTTATAGAGTAAACTTGGAGTACAGTGAGTTCTAATGTGACCAGAGCTTGCCTAGTAAGGACCTGTTTCAAAAAAACAAAACAAACAAACAAACAAAACAGAAAAAATGGGCTAGTGAAATGGCTCAGCAGGTAAAGGTGCTCAGACCCGAGTGGTGTTCTATTCCCAACACCACAAGGTGGTTCACAACTATCTGCAACTCCAGTTCTAGAGGATCTGACGCCCTCTTCTGACATCCTTGGGCAATAGGGATACACACACACACACACACACACACACACACACACGTACACGTTATACAGCCGTACATGTAAGCAAAACACTCATACACAGAAAATGGAAACAGTAAGAACAGGGAGGGGCGCATATGAAGGTCAGAGGACAACACAATATAGGGTCTGAGGATAGGGCAGCAAGCGGTTTTACCCACTGAGCCATTTCTCTGGCTTCTTCAATGTCAATCAGAAGCAACAAACAAACGAAAATAACCATGTCGCAACCTCGGAAACTGAGGTGACGTGGTTCTAGCTAGAAGAAGCCTCTGTAAAGAGGAACCGAGAGAGTTTGGACGGCTCCCAGGACTCCGGCACAGAACGGTCTGTGCCTTTAAAGGGCGAGCAAGGGGCGGGGCTTCCGGAACCGCCCAGCAAGTGACGTCATGCGACGGGGCCCTGGCAGTCGGCGGAGAGCAGTGGTAACTTTTAAAGGCGTGGCCTTGTCACGCCTTCTTCTCGGAGACTCACAGAGCAGCCCTCGGGGCACTTCCCTTTAAGGAGCGTTTCAGGGGCGGGACCTAGACGTGCCCTTCCCGCCGGCGGACTCCTTTAAGGCGCGGCCTCGTCCGCCAACAGTAAAGTGGCTTAAAGGCGACGCGTGGCGCGATGGCGGCGTTGCTCCGAGGGTTAGGCGGGCTGCCGCTGCTGCCGCTGCTCCTCCTACTGCTGCTGCTGGGCGACCCGCGCGGGGTGGACGGCTACTTCCCAGAAGAGCGCTGGAGCCCCGAGTCCCCGCTACAGGCGCCGAGTGTGCTCATCGCGCTGCTGGCGCGGAACGCGGCACCCGCGCTGCCCGCCACGCTGGGCGCCCTGGAGCGGCTGCGCCACCCACGGGAGCGCACGGCGCTGTGGTGAGCTCCGGGCCCTGGCGCCGTGCACAGGGACTAGGCGGGAGTCAAGTTTGTACCCGAGGGACGCGGATATGCACTTGGTGGGCTCGGCTGTGCACTGCAGAGACTCGGTTATGTTCCGGAGGAACTCGGTCTTCTATCTGGGGACCTGAGTTATGTACCCCGGGGATCCGATTATACACTTGACGTGACTCGGCCCTGTACCCATAGTACCCGGTCTCGTCCTCACTGCGGTTTGGGACCCCGAACTGCTGCCTCCTCCCCTCAGGTACTTAGGGATCTGTTCTGGGTTGCTGCCAGCCCTCACAGCGAGCTACCACCCTACAACCTCTGACTCCTCAGAATAGGCCAGGCTGGCGCTTCCAGACCCTTATAGCAAACTCCGAGGCTTCCAGATAAGAGTCCCGAGGCTTGGGCCAGCATTCCATGCTAACAAAGTGAATGAACTTATCTTTGTGACAGGGTCGCACACTAATGTGCTTTCCAAACTAGCAGGTTCTGTTCAGCTGTGTACTAGAGAGCTGGGCGTCATCTTTACTGCCCTGTCACCGATGGATGGGCAATAGGCTCGGAGCGTAGTGAGTTTTATCCAGGGCATTATAGCTGATGGGTCTGAGGCAGAATGGGACAACCCCCCACCCCCACCCCTTGCTATCCTCTTGTCCTGTCTGTGCTCACAGGGTGGCCACAGATCACAACACTGACAACACTTCAGCCATACTTCGAGAGTGGCTGGTGGCTGTGAAGGGTTTATATCACTCTGTAGAGTGGCGGCCGGCAGAGGAGCCCAGGTAAGCCTCAAGCCCTGACTGGAGTCCCCACGCTTGGCAAGCTAGGAGCTGGCATGCCCCACTCTCTCATCAGCGTCACCGTCCGTCCTCCCTCCCAGCGGACCTTTGTCCCTATTGTCTTCACTCCATTGTCCAATTCTGGACACAGCTGCCACACCTTTGTGGCTGAATTCCTGTGTGTCTGGTGGCCACCTACTGCTGTGTTCCTGGTCTTGCCTGCATCCACTCTCCTGTTTAACTTCATGATCAGCCTGTTTCCCTGTGTAGTCCAGACTTGCACTTAGCAGCCTCCTGCCTCAGTCTCCTGAGTGTTGGAAGCACAGTCGTCCATCACCCTGCACTGCAGGATCAGACTCAGAGCCTGTATCCAGTACTGTGTGTGCACGCACATGCTCCTGTGCTCACGGGTACCTCGTGGCTCCAGGCTCTACCCAGCCATGCAGAGCTTTCCCTTGGTCCTCAGCTTGCCAGGAGCTTTTGGGCCTCTGGACCTGTGCATATGCTGGGCTGGCATTCAGGCCCCTGTGCCCTGGCCCTCCATGCTCTACACGGAGGCCTTCTGATCCACTTGCCTGCCTCCTTTTCTGTGAAGCCCTCTATGATCCCCCTGCAGCGGTGCTCTCTGGGCCCCCATGGTGCCCCATGATGTGTACACCACAGCTGTTCCTTTGCAGCTCCTACCCAGATGAAGAAGGCCCCAAACACTGGTCTGATTCCCGCTACGAGCATGTCATGAAATTGCGCCAAGCAGCCTTGAAGTCAGCTAGGGACATGTGGGCTGATTACATTCTGGTGAGTCTCTTTAGTTGGGGAGTCTTAATTATCCACAGGGAGGATAGAATGGGTGAATCTAGGAGCTACCAGTAACCCATTTTTCAGAAGGGTAAACTGAGGATCAGAAAGAGGGGAAGCTAGGTGGTGAGCATATCTTTAATCCCAGCGTTCGGGAGGCAGAGGCAGGTGGACCTTTGAGTTTGAGGACAGCCTGTTGTACACAGTGAGTTCCAGAACAGCCAGGGCTACACAGAGAAACCCTGTTTTGAAAAACCAGGAAGAAAAAAAAAGGAAGGGGGTTGTGGTTATAGGTCTTTGTGTAGCATGCTTGCCAAACATACTTGAGGCCTTGGGTTCCACTCAGGCCCCCAAATAAAGAACAAGTGGGCCTTTGTACCCCCTTGGGGCTGGGCACTAGATTTTTAAAAAATACCTGTTTTAAAACAGAGTTATTTGTGTGTGCGGGGCATGCAGGGTCACAGGACAAGCTGCGGAGTCGCTTCTGTCCTTCCACTAGGTGGTCCTGGGGATTGAATTTTTGTGACTTCCTTTCGAGCAGCAAGAGTCACAAGCTAGGTGGGTGTGAGTGACAAGTTGCTGCCGGGCCTGACCTCCACGTCCTGTTCCCTGGCCTGCAGTGGCCTCTAAGGAGGAAGCAGCTGGAGTGTTCTGAGGTGACCTAGCTCCAGGAATCCTGAGGCAGGAGGATGGAGAATTAGATGCCAGTCTAGGTGACAGAGCAAGACTGTCCTGAAACTGATGGTGCTGTCAAGCTGGCTGTTCTTGCAGAGGACCCAGAATGAGCTCCCAGCCCTCTGTAACCCCAGGTCCCAGGAGAGTTGATGCCCCTTCTAGCCTATGTGGCTACTGAAGCCACGTGCTGTGCTAATGTGTCCACTAGTGTAGTTTAAAGAAACCTTTTTAAAAGATGACTTATGTATTGTTTTTATTTATCTATTTAGTTTTGTATTTGGAAGCAAAGTTTCTCTACATAGCCCTGGCTGTCTTGAAACTCCCCATGTAGACTAGGCTGGCCTCAAACTCACCTGCCTCCTGAATTCTAAGATTAAAGGGGAGAGCCACCACAGCCAGGTAGATTTATTTATTTTAATTTTCTCTTTATGGGTGTTTTGGCTGCATGACAGTCTGTGCACATGAGTGGCTGGTGCAAGTGTGTGTGTGTGTGTGTGTGTGTGTGTGTGTGTGCGCGCGCGTACATGCACAGCATCAGGCTGGGTACCTAGGGGGCCCTGTGCCCTGTGACCAGCCTAGGGCTGCTTTGCCCAGTTGGTGGAGTCAGTCTGGCTTGCAGCATGGTCCACAGCGATGGCTGTGGCCCCGGGGACAGCTACAGGTAGATTTCCAGGTCTCCTCAGTTTCCTTTGCTGATCCATTGACTGACAGCTTACTGTAAGTCCAGGCTGTGCAGCTTTCACTAGCCTGGAACCTGTGGTCATCCTACCTCAGCCTCTCAGGTACTGAGGTGACTGTTGTGAGCTCACTCACTTTAACCTGGTTGTCTTTGTGCAAGTGCTAAGAGGAACCTGGGTCTCCTGGGGGCTCATGTGTCCTGGGCAGGGCAGAACTGGATTGCTCTGCTACAGAGTGGCATTCTAGCTCTGTCCTCACGTGTCTGCAGGGTCCTTGGCCTCATCGGTTCAGCACAGCGAGGAGGTGTCTGACCCAGGATGGCGCCACAGGAGGGACTCGGGATGTTGAGGGTGGGCAGTGCCCAGCTATCCAGACTTGGGAGCATGGGCTCTCACACAGAGCTCTGTGCAGACTGGCTTGTCAGCTTGAAGGGTTTCTGCAGTCCCACCCCTCCCTCACCCGTCCATGGGCAGCAGGGCTACATTGTTTTAGTGTCTTGGTTACATTTGTTTACTTATTTGTGGGTTGTCATGTGTAGTTATAACCTTGTGGAGACTGGGGGACAGTTCCCTAAGTGTAGGGAAGTCTGTTCTCAGCTTTCACCCTGTGAGTCCTGGGGTGAACTCAGATTATCAGGCTCAGCAGAGCTTCCTGCTGAGTGCCCAACTGAACTTTGCCTGGGATGGGGGAGTCTGGTGACTTTAGCCTGGGGAGGAATGGAGGACCCAGAAGGAGGAAAGTGGACCCAGCTCCTTAGCCCATTTCACAGATGAGAAAGTAGGTGCTGACGGTAGGAAAAGAGATGTGGTATGGAGCTGGAATGTTTCCTTGGCTTCTAGAAGCACTTGGAACTTTGTGGAGCCTTCTGGAGCTGTGTAGAGCAGATACCATGTCCCTTTCTTCCTGCTTGCTTTTACGGTTTTCACAGTCCCCCCTCGGCCAGCCTGGCTGGAGGGCACCCAGATGGTAACTCAAAGTAGCTTCCTATAGAAAGCTATATTTTTTGGTACTAGGGGACTTCGGAGCACAGCACTGGAATATGAAATCACTTCCTTGGTGCTTTAATTTTTTAATGTAGTTTTAAAATTATATAGCCCTAGTTTGCCTGGAATTTGCTCTATAGACCAGGCTAGCCTCAAACTAGAGATCTGCCTGCTTCTGCCTCCCGAGTGCTGGGACAGCAAGTATGCGCTATCACACCATGCTGTCTGTCTGTCTGTCTGTCCATCCATCCATCCATCCATCCATCCATCCATCTTTGTTTTTTTGAGACAGGGTTTTCTTGTGTAGCCCTGAGTGTTGTGGAACTTGCTCTATAGACCAGGCTGGCTTCTAACTCACAGAGATGCCCCTGCCTCTGCCTCCTGAGTGCTGGGGTTAAAGGCATGTGCCATCACTGCCCCACTAAGATTTTCTTGAGCTTCAGTTTGTTTACCCGACACCAAATCAGCCTTTTCATGTGTGCAGTTCTGCAACATTTAGCCATCATGTGGTCCAGCCATCACCTCTTTAGAACACTCCACTTCTGGAGTGCAGTCTACCATCCCTTGCCAGTCCCTGGCAGCTTCCAATCTGCTTGCCTCCCCACCTGCATTTGCCTGTTTCAGACCTCTTCCTGCCCTGGAACCACATGTGTATAACCTGTGTGTAAGGACATTGCCTCTCAGGGCCATCCAATTTATAGTGTGAGTTTGTGTGTGTTTGTAGCAGTTGAGCGATATTCCGGATGGCGGCCTCCTGTGTGTGTGTGTAATAGCTGAGCGATATTCTGAATAGCGGCCTCCGTCTCTCTGCTCGGCAGCCTTTGTGTATTCCCCTTTGGCTCCTGTGATGAGTGCCATGTTTGAACCCCTGTCTTCAGTTCCTTGAGGTTTATTTCCCAGGATGGAAGGCTAGACCGTGTCTTTCTCTAACTTCGGGAGTTGGAGGGTTGCTGCCAGGCTGCCGGGGCTCATACGATTCCAGTGTTTACAGGGGCTAGGCATAGTAAGCACTTGACCCCAGAGCTCCCCAGAGGCAGTGCGGCCTCCTCAGTTGGTGACACCATGGAGCCATGGAGATAGAGAGGCCCTGTCTGTCACCTTGGCCCTGGGTGACAGAGAGGTGCAAATAGCAGTTGATTTCAGTGTTCTAGTAATTGCATGTTGGCCATGGAAAGTGAGTCTGTGGCTAGAACCATAGAAAAAGCCACATCTGTCCCCCGTGTAGGCTGAGTCCAGAATGTGGGGTCTGGCTTGTAGTGTTTACATGTGTGTTGTGTGACTTCCCTGTCACTTGCAGGATACCAGGTGACAGTACACTGGGGTGGAGCCAGGATTGGCTGTCAACCACACCTCCAGCCCTAATGGCCAGGGTTTTGTTTTTAAATAATAAAAGACTTTTTTATTTATTGGTGAGTTACTCCCTAAGCTAGGGTCTCACTGAAGCAGGGACCCACTGGCCCGTCCCCTGTGTCCATTTCCACTGTGCTGGGAGGCCGGCACGCAGGACTCAGCTTCCTCAGTCCGTTCTTTTACTACTGCTGTTATTTTATGTGGATAAATGCACATATGTTTTTACTGCATGCATGTCTGTGTACCACGTACCTGCCCTGGTGCCTGTGTAGACCGGAAGAGGGCACTGGATCCCCTGGAACTGGAGTTGGTTGTGAGCTGCCATCTGGGTGCTGGAAGCTGCCAGGGGCCTCTGCAAGAGCAGCCAGTGCTCAGTGCACTGAGCCACCGCAGGGGCATCTCGAGGACTCAGGCTCCGTGGCATGGCCATGCCTCTCCACCTGGGCTGGTCAGGTTGACAAAGGTCAATCATTTGCAGTTTGTGGACAGCGACAACTTGATCACCAACCCTGACACTCTGAGCCTGCTCATCGCCGAGAACAAGACGGTGGTGGCCCCCATGCTGGACTCCCGAGCAGCATATTCCAACTTCTGGTGTGGGATGACTTCGCAGGTACAGTGGGGACTTGGACAGGCAGACCAAGCACCAGACAGGAACCATCAGGACAATCCTCAGACAAGCAGCGGGGCGGGATCTACAGGCATCCCCAACTCTTTTACTACTGAGGTTGAAGCAGAAACAGGGAGAGGGAGAGAGAGAGAGGAAACTGGCTCAAATTCACATAGAAAGCAGCAGTGTGTGTGTGTGTGGGGGGGCAGGGGATGGAGCTTCAGGCATGGCTTGATCCGGGTGTTCCAACATAAGGTAATGATCCCAGTCAACCCATCCATGTCTACTACATGGCTGTCGGGGAGGCCCGCTGTGGCTGGATGCCTCTGAAGCTTTTACACTTCTGCTGTGGGCTCCAGCGCCCCCTGAGCACACCTCCCCATCCTCCCGCAGGGCTACTACAAGCGCACCCCTGCCTACATCCCCATCCGAAAGCGAGAGCGCAGGGGCTGCTTTGCAGTTCCCATGGTGCACTCCACCTTCCTCGTTGACCTGCGGAAGGCCGCGTCCAGGAGCCTGGCCTTCTACCCACCACACCCCGACTACACCTGGTCTTTTGACGACATCATCGTCTTTGCCTTCTCCTGTAAACAGGCAGGTGCGTGAGGCTGGCCACCACACTGAACATGTCCAAAGAACAGAGGTGCAGTGTGCAGGCGGGTCTCAGGCTCAGCTGCATTAGGGAGGTGCAGTGTGCTCCTGGGACCCCACGTCTACAGCATGGCTGCCTTATCAGCCTTACTCTACAGATCTGTTGATCATCAGGCGTGGTAGTTCACACCTGTGATCTTGGGACTTGAGAGGCTGAGGCAGGAGGATGGTAAGTTTGTGACACACAGAGAGAGATCCCAAATAACAAAAAGGGGTATGATGGATATCACATCTTCCAGTGTGTATGCATGGCATGTTTGTCTGTGGGTGGGGGGAGACCAGAGGTCACGATCAGGTGTCTTCCCCCTCTGCACCATATTTACTTACTTGTGCACACACCACGGCACACTCGTGAAGTCAGAGGACACTTTGCAGGAGTCAGGTCTTCCCTTCCACTGGGGGTCGTGGGACTTGAACTCAGGTCTTCAGGCTTGGTGGCACGTGCCTTTACTGAATCATCTCAATGACTGTGAAATTTTGCATTTGATGTTTTCCATTTAGTACATGGAACTAAAGCCAGAGGGGATGGAGAATGGATTAAGGGGGAGGCAGCAGGGCAGGAGTGTTCAAGAGAAGAACTCACAGGGCATGGTCTACTCACCTTTAATGGTAGCACTCGGGAGGCAGAGGCAGGTGGATCTCTGAGTTCGAGGCCAGCCTGGTCTACAGAGTGAGTTCCAGGACAGCCAGCAGGGCTACACAGAGAAACCCTGACTCAAAAAACCAAAACATCCCCCCCCAACACACACACAAAAGAAAACAAACTTAGCTCACCTGCAAGTCTCTCTGTACCGGAGTTTAGTACCTCCGGTACAGACCTCCTCACTGACGGTGAGGTCCAATCTCACTTCCTCTTTTGAGCATCCATAAACCCAAATCAGTTTTACATTTGTGAAGAATGACCAAAATCTGAAATAAAACTCAGTGATTGTTTGCCTGAGACAAGGTATCATGCAGCCCAGGCTGGCCTGCCGCTCACCATGCCCCAGCCTCCATCTCCAGGGCGCGGCACTGACTCGCTTCTCGTCCCCACCCTCAGAGGTGCAAATGTACGTGTGCAATAAGGAGGTGTACGGCTTCCTGCCTGTGCCGCTGCGCACACACAGCAGCCTGCAGGACGAGGCAGAGAGCTTCATGCACGTGCAGCTGGAGGTCATGGGTAAGTCTCCTTGACCCTGGCCTCGCCATCTTGCGTCCCGGGAACTAACGGTACTGTTGGGTGGTGGTCCCTGTGTGTGGTGTGTGACTGAGGGAGACCATAGTCCCTGCCACTGGGGAGTTTGCAGTTGTCACAGGATCAGCTGTCATCCTGGCAGACACTGCCTCCTGTGTGCCTGTGCCCTCTGGTGTCCCCACACCACTGAGAAAACTGAAACATGAGCTGCTGTCTGTGCCGCATGCCCGTGAACTTGGCAGTCTGGAGGCTGAAACCAAGAGATGGCGAGTTGCAGTCATCCTGGCTACAGCTTGATAACCCATCCAAAAAGACTGATCCTGTTTTCCAGCAAAGTTATCCTGTTCCTGAGGGTTGGTACACCTAGGTAGCTTTTAGAGGGACAGCAGCAGTGTGAGTCTCACGGTATTTGTGTAAAGCTTCTGAGAGTGTGGCTGAAGAAGGCAGGTTTGTATCCCTGAAGTCATCATACATGTACTGCTGGGATGACCCCTCTGCAGCTATTGAGCACCTGCTGTTTACCAGGCTCTGCTGGGCTCTGGGCATGCAGTGTGAGTAGACAGACCCACAGCCCTCCCAGGATGTTATACATGGAGTTGGGAAAGCAGGGACAGTGTCCTGATGGCCAGAGCCTGACACTTGGGCCAGAAGAGCCTGGCCAGATAGAGAGGCCTGGAGGCTCCCACTGCCTGGGTGTCACAGCTGAGATCTGAATTGCTCCGGCAGGAACTCAGCTGGGCGAAGGTCCTGGGGCATAGCCCGGTCATACTGGGAACTGGGAGAAGTAGGGTCCTGGGACCCCAGTGACCCCTGCTTTCTTACCCTTAGTGAAGCATCCGCCAGTGCAGCTCTCCCGGTTCATCTCAGCACCCAGGAAGACTGCAGACAAGATGGGCTTCGACGAGGTGGGTGGGGCCTCCTGGGTGGGGGGAGGCAGCCAGCCTGAGCCCGCCTCACTGAGGCTCTGCTACAGGTCTTCATGATTAACCTGAAGCGAAGGCGGGACCGGCGAGAACGCATGCTGCGGGCACTGCATGAGCAGGAGATTGACTGCCGGCTGGTGGAGGCTGTGGATGGCAAGTGCGTACTCTGTGTGTGTGTGTGTGTCTTGTGTGTGTGCATGTGCCTGTGTATGTATGTGTGTGCATGTGTGTGTATGCCTCAGTGTGTGTGTGCATCCTATGTGAGTGCATGTGCCTGTGTGTGTGTCCATGTGCATGTTCATGTGTGTGTCTGTGTGTGTGCCTGTATCTGTGCGTGCATTTGTCTGTGTGTTTATGTGTGCGCTCGTGTGTCTGTCTGTGTGCCTGTGTTTGCATGTGCTTATATACACAGCCATCTGGGAAGCATAGAAGGGATGGAGTCAGCTCTGGCAGACCTCAGTACAGATGTAGTAGAGGAATTAACAAGTCTACAGCCAAGAAACAGGAAGGTTCTTGTCCTGGGATAAGCTGCCATGCTCATGTACAAAGCTGTGGGGTGGGCTGGGGGAGGACCCGAGGGCGGGGCCGTTCACAGGATTGCAGAGGTTGACGTCAGAGGCAGGGCTACTTTTTGTGTCTTATCTTACCTCTCCCCATCTGCTCCCTGTCAACCCCCTCCTCCCTTCTCCATCCTTCTCCTCCCCATGTCCCTCTCCTTCCTCCCTATCCTCAACCTCTTTCCTATCCCCCTCCTTCTCCCTACTCCTTACTTTCCTCCTATCCCCCTGCTTTCCTTCCAATCCCCATTGCATTTCTCTTCATCTTTGCCCTGTTCCCCATCCTCTCCATCCTCCCTATCCTCCTTGCTCTCTTCTCCATCCTCCACATCCTCCACATCCTCCTCATCCTCCTCATCCTCCTCTCCTCCTCATCCTCCTCTTTTCCCCATCCTCTCCATCCTCCCTATCCTCTTCGCACTCCTCCCCATCCTCTCCATCCTCCACATCCTTACTCTCCTCACCATCTTTGTCCTCCTCCTCTTTTGCTACTATCCTCCTCCCTCCGGCATCCCCACAGAGCCATGAATACCAGCCAGGTGGAGGCCATGGGCATCCAGATGCTGCCTGGCTACCGGGACCCCTACCATGGGCGGCCACTCACCAAGGGAGAGCTGGGCTGCTTTCTCAGCCACTACAACATCTGGAAGGAGGTGGGTGTCTGGGATAAGGGAGGCCTGGCCCACAGTCCTTGCTGTCCTCACAGATTAGGTCAGGTCCAGAGTCTCAGGGAGGAACTATGGTCCCCTTGTCACCAGCGGCAGAATCTGTGACTACATTTTGGTGTCTGTTTCATGAATTGTCTTCACATTGGCCCTGATACACCTGAGTGGGGCATCCACTGCCTTGGCATTTCCAAGATGCAAAAAGTGGGCTGGACAGTAAGGGGCCCTGCAGGTAAAGTCTGGAGCTGTGATCCCCAAGTGAGACCTGCTTGCCCCACAACCTGACACTGCTCACTGTTTATTGAAGTGATGGCTTCTGGCTTTAATGCCCCTGGACAACAGCTGGTGATTTCCCATGATGTTACACAAGAACCAGATTTGGAACCTGCAAACGAGGCTGGATGGGTGGGGTGTTGGCTCCAGATGCTGAGGTATAGGAAATAGGGCAGCTAACTGCCCAAGGTGAGGGTGCTCGTGTGAGCTACCCTCCTTTCCTAAAGTTCTTCATGGGCATTCTCCTAGCTTCATTGGCTGACAGTGAAGCCTCCTAAACTCAGGGCATTGCACCAAGGAGGAAGGGTAAGAGGCGCCTGCCTATTGCCAAGAGAAAGGCTTCTTAGTATCACAGGCTAAACACAGGCAGAGGTCCTAGGCAAGAACGGCCAAGGCAGACAGGCGGGAGAAGACTGACATGGTGGACAAATAGCTGGCCTGTGGAAGGTTGGGATGCATATTTCCTTCCTAGCAAGCAGCTCTGGGGCTGCGTCTCCTTGACTTGGAGTGGCACCTTCCCTCAGGTGGTTGACCAGGGACTACAGAAATCACTAGTGTTTGAGGATGATCTGCGGTTTGAGATCTTCTTCAAGAGACGTCTGATGAACCTCATGCGGGATGTGGAGCGTGAGGGGCTGGACTGGGACCTCATGTGAGTGGGGGTTGGTGGGAGGGTTGGGGATGAGACGCCAGCCTTGGGTCCTGGCCCAGGCATCACCAGGTCTCGGGGGCAGAGCCTGGAGTTTAAGGGCAAAGTAAGTCTAGAGCCCGGAAGATGTCAGACCTCTGCTGTCTGTCGGGTTGGCTTAGTTTCTGCCCAATTTTCCTGTGCCCAGCCCTATGCCTTGTCTCTCTGTAGCATTCTCTGGCAGGTGGGGGACATGTAACAAGTCTCTGATTCTGCACCCCAGCTACGTGGGCCGGAAGCGCATGCAGGTGGAGCACCCTGAAAAGGCTGTGCCCCGTGTAAGGAACCTGGTGGAGGCTGATTACTCCTACTGGACGCTAGCCTATGTAATCTCCCTGCAAGGTGCTCGGAAATTGCTTGCTGCCAAGCCACTAGCCAAAATGTTACCTGTTGACGAGTTTCTGCCTGTCATGTTTGACAAGCACCCAATGTAAGGAGGCTGTGAAGGGGTATTTGAGGGGGTTGGGTGGCAGGCTGGGGTCTTTGAGTCCTGGAAAGTCAGGGCCGGGGACTGTTGGGCTCTGGAGTTGGGCATGGTGGGATGAATCCTAGTGGACTCAAGGGAGAGTCTGTTTCTGGATCACTGGTCTCCATCTCCCATGTCTCTCCTGTAGGTCAGAGTATAAGAGTCACTTCTCACCCCGCAGCCTGCGTGCCTTCTCGGTGGAGCCCCTCCTCGTCTACCCTACACACTACACGGGGGATGACGGCTATGTGAGTGACACGGAGACCTCGGTTGTGTGGAATAATGAGCAGGTTAAGACTGACTGGGACCGAGCCAAGTCCCAGAAGATGCGAGAACAGCAAGCACTGAGCCGTGAGGCCAAGAACTCGGATGTGCTCCAGTCTCCACTGGACAGTACTGCCCGTGACGAGCTTTGAGGCAGCTGGTAAAAGCCAAAGCCACTGCCACACACCTAAACTTCATGTACTTGCCTGGGACTATAGGGCCACTTAGGCAGACAGCAGAGGACTCCACAAGCACAGTGGTCTCCATGTCTTCCTGTTTAGCAGCCACTTGCACACAGGCAGCATTTATGGAGTACTTACTGTATGCCAGAAACAGAGCTGGCCACCAAGAGATTGGGCAGGAACAAGCTACAGTCCGATGTGTCCATCATGAAGGAAGTTTTCTTGTTAGAGCAGTGAAAGAGGCATGACTCCCCCTTATCAGTGATTGATCTGATCATCAGGGGTTTTTTTTGTTTGTTTGGTATTTTTTGTTTTTGTTTTTCAAGACGGGGTTTCTCTGTGTATCCCTGGCTGTCCTGGAACTCACTGTGTAGACCAGGCTGGCCTCGAACTCAGAAATCCACCTGCTTCTGCCTCCCAAGTACTGGGATTAAAGGCGTGCACCACCACTGCCCGGCTGATCATCAGGTTTTAATTGTTCAGACTGAGTCAGGTATTAGGGGATACATATTCATTTTTAAAATCTGTTTGAGTGTTTATTGAGGGCTTACTGTATGTTAGGTATCATTTTTAGCTCTGGGAATACTGAAATAAGAAAACAAAATCAATATACCAAGCAGCTGCTATGTGTCAGGTCTTAGGAGCCATTGATGAGTTGAGTGTCTGCTGTGTGTCACTCAGTAGGTGCTGGGGATGGAGGCCCCAGTGGCGCTTATGTTTGCAGTGGGAATGGTATACTTGCAGTGGAGACAGTATTAATGACCCTGTGTGCTAGCTAGGCTACACGCTGAGCACAATGTCAGAGTCTGAATAGAATGTAACAAGCATTTATTGAGCACCTAGTGTGTCAGGCCTCAGACTCCAAATTGGAATGAGAAATAGCCACCCTCCATCCCATCTGCCGGAGGATGCTGTTCGTCCCATGTTCAGATGGGAGGGATGTTCTCCTTTCCCTGGGTTGACTGCTGGGTCTCAGGATACTCATGACCTTGGGAGCCCTCCCCTGGGGGGGGTGCAGGTGGGGTCTGGGGCTCCTTTGCCCACCCCCAGCTGCCAGAGCTGCTTTCTGCCCTTGTGTCTCAGATGTCCCTGGGCTGCTTATGTGTCTGGGGCCTTGAGGTGCCCAGCTCCATTGGGGTGTTCCTCTTGGCCTGGGCAGTGTGTTTCCCAGCAGGCCAGGGGGTCACTGTGCCTTCAACACTAAACTGAATGTCAGCTGGTCCGTTGGTGTCACCTTCTGAGGATGACTGCTTACCTGCTCAGGTCTTGGTAACTTGCTCATGTTTTTATTAAATCCTCCTTATTGGTTTTCACTGAAGTCTGTGGTCTTGGTGCCCCCCCGTCCCTGTCTCTGCCAGTCAAGGTTTGGGGAGACAGGGTTTGTAGACACATGTTGTGCAGACCACCAGACACTGCAGGGAGTGTGGGTATGGATATTTTGGGAATCCTATACCCCCACCTCACAAAGCAGCTATGGGAGAGTCTGGCGGATAGATCTGCAAGATCTTATGGCAGCCATCATGGCCTGTCTTCCTGTGGAAACAGATGCCACCAGGGGGTGACAGTGAGCAGACACTGCTGCCCCTGGACAGAGAGAGAGACTGGGTACTAGTTCCAGTTCCTGCCTGATAAAGCAGGCCAAAACCAGCTTGAAGACAAACTCAAGCCAGAGTTATGAGGAAGCTGCTGATGGGCTAGCTCTGGACTCTCAGTGTCAATCATCAATCAAAATGCCCTGGAGACGTGACCACGGGCTTGATGTGGGTGAGCCCTGAATAGTGATTACTCTTGGCTGTGAGGAGCTGACAGCAGGAATAAGACAGACCCTCCAATACCCAGATCCTAGGGTTTTCTGGATCAAGCTTACCAGTTCTCAGGATTATAGGGCTCTGGCCTGAGAGGGTAGGGATGGTTCTGATGCTAAGGTCCTGTTTCCCAATTGGTTCTTGATTTATCAGTCAAGAAGCCATGGGCCAATTGCTGGGTGGAAAAAATAGGCAGGACTTCTGGGTCCCCGCAGGCCGGCTACAGATGAAGGGAGAAGAAAAGGAGTTTCTGCCGTGCTTCAGAGGGAGGAAAGCTAACCAGCCTCCAGGCTGCTTCTGTAGGCAGGAGGTTGGGGCTGTTGAGCTGGGACTGGAATTGAGTGCAGATTTAGGGTGCTGAGCTGGGAGTACTGGGAAAGGCATGTCAGCTGAGATAGACTGGAGATGCCCAGCAGTTGAGCCAAAAGACAAGTTAAAATTGGACAACTGTGTGTGTCTGTTTTTCATCCATAGATCCATTATTCTTTGGGCAGGGGCTGGTAGCACAGCCTGTTCCTGGAGTTTAGGTGGGGTAGCAAAAGCTACTTACTACATGGGCGCATCCACAAATGGTATGTGACTGGTGTGGACTAAGAAACTGTCCACACTGACTAGACGGCTTCTACCACACTGAGAGTCATTAGCTTGTCCTTGGGTCTCCTCTGTGTACTCTAGGGCAATGTCACTCAATGGCCCAGGTTCACAGGGCCCTTCTCTAACATTGTGCTGGATCCTGAATAGTATGTGCAAACCATTTTCTATGGTCTTCTGTGGCCTAGGCTGTCCAACTATGTAACCAGGGATGACCTTAAATTTTGCCTCTACCTCCCAGGGCTTTTGATGACAGGCAAGTACATGTTTGGTTCACAGTGCTGGGCACAACGCCCAGGGCATCCTGTGCTCAAGGCAGACATTCCAACAACCAAGTGCCCCACCCTCTTCTAGCAGGCCTCTGCTTCTTGGTTGGTTTGGGGTGCTCAAAGATATGTTTGCTGACTGAGCGGGGTGTACTTTTTCTGGGGGAAGAAAAACTCTGTTGAGTAAAGACGGCCTGGTCTGCACATGTCTGCCCCCAACAGGTTCAGTATGTGGATGAGCTACTACATGTGGAGGTGACAGGACAATGTCAGGGAGTCCTTCCACCAAGTGCATCCCCAGGGCTGAATTCAGCTTCTGGCTTGGCAGCAAGCACCTTTACGTACTGGGCCCTCTCACTGAGCCCTGACTGAAGTTTTGTCTAAGGAGCTCAAGAACTCGGTTCAGGAGATTCTGTGGTTTTTTGTTTGTTTGTTTTTTTAATGTTAATAAAATATTTTTTTACAGAGACCAAAAAGTCAGAATAGTGCAAAACATCTCAACACCATGCACTCATGAACACTCCCCGGGTATTCTGAACATGTATCCCAAGTCACATGTTGACTGAGAGTTGAGGGCATCTTGAAAGATGCTGGACTAACGGGATGGACCTAAAAAACCCTCCAAAAAAACCCTCCAAAAAACCAAACCAAAAGCACAACGCTGGGATTCTACCTTTGCAGTCACATGCTAAGAAAGGCAAGTCAGAGGGGCTCCCTGGGCTGTGCGGCAGGGGCTGGGGTAAGGAACCTTCTGGGGTTCAGGGGACCCTCGCTTGTCACCTGTGTCACCCAGACCCAACAGCTCAGCCAAAATCGCATTTTAAAACAATAAAAGGTGAGGAGAGGGAGTCGGGTCCGCAGAGCCAGCTTTGGTCCTGAAAGATGCTGGGATGGGGGGTGGGGTGGGGCGAGCCAGGCCGACCCTTCCCCTTGTCTGACCCCCAGCAGGGCTGCCCTTGGGACCTGACAGGTCTGTGGTCCAGGCTGAGAGAGGTCCCCAGGAGTTCTGGGTGCATTTGATTTTTTGCATGTCTGATGGGGCAGGTGAGGTGACAGGCTATGGGGCCTGAAATGGACTGGGGTGCAAAGGGTAACCCCTCAAGTGCTGACTCTCCCAGACATGGTGAGCTGACTGCAGGGCTTTTTTAATTTTTCATTGTTGGGAAAGGAACTTAGAACAAAGCATGATTGGCTGGTGCTGAGCCACGCCCCAGCCCCCTAACTGAGGAATTCTAGGTAGGGTATAAATGAGCCTGGAACCCAGATCCTTCCAACTGCTCTTCCTCTTCCTCTCTTCTGCCCACACTGCAGCCCCCCTTACCCCCTGGCATCTGCCTCTCCCAGTCCTGCCTCTCCTGTGGGTGGGGCTGTGGCCTTTTCCAGCCTGCTGCAGGCGGAGCTAAGCAGTCTCCAACCATCCCTGACCTGTGGAGTCTGGCACTGCACCCCAGTGTGTTTTAATGCAGGACCCCAGCAGCAAGGGGCTGCCAGGGGAGGTGGCAAGAACTCAGACAGCTAGGACCAGGAGTAACTTCTTTTCAGGACATTGCTATATTAGGCTGTCCTGAGATCAACACTGAGGCCACTGCTCCACTTCCATCTACTGTGTCCTGGGGCTCAGCTTGGACACCCCTGCTGACATAGGGGTGTCTGTCAAGTCGGGAAATTGTAGTGAAAAACATGCAAGTGAATTGGAGTCACATGCAGACCCCTCAGTCACTCTTGACACATAATTCAAGTCAGCATGACCTTCCTTCAATGCCTGTGACCTGCTTATACTGGGGAAGCTTGGGGGTCCCATGAAGCCTCAGCCTGGAATTTAGGAGAAACCGAGCCAGGCATAGACATATCAGTCTCATGACATCAGGGGCAAATCAGAGAAGGGAAAGAATACTGGAGAATTCCTTAAGAAATTATTTTGTACAGGGGGAGGTTTGTAATGGGTGCTGAGGGATGAATAGGAGGTCTCTGGATAAATAAAAGGAAATTTCAAACAGTTAGCCTGGGAGTCAGAACAATTCACTAGACAAACACTCCTTTGTACGTTCTTTAACATTCTGGGGCTGGAAAACACACACACACACTCACACACACACACACGCACACACACACGCACAGGTCACCATAACTATGTTGCCTCTGTCAGTCACACAAACCCCCACATTCTTGGCAGCAATGTAGAAACTTTCTATGACTGCTCTCTGATCGGGCCACTTCCCCTTTAGCCATGTTTGATGCCCTAAAGTATAAGTCACTCCTTCCCGAGCTCCAGTGTGGTGGGGATCGACTCCCCGCTCAAAATATGCAACGTAGCCTCTGAGCTCCCTGTCCATGGGAGAAGCCTGGATCTTGTGTGAAAGCCTGCATCCTACCCTGTCACTGCATGTGGCATTCAGGGGACATGCTGCAGTTCAAAGCCAATTACAAAAGGGTCATCCGTTTATCACAAGCATATCCTTCCTAGTTTCTGTTCTCTCTGTTATTTCCAGCCTGGATTTGGAGAAAAGACGGGATGGGGGGCCCTTGGCTCTGGGAAAACCCCAACCCTCCCCCCTTCTTAACTAGGCTGGTTCCGACTAAAGTCCCAGAAGGAAGGGCAAGGACCGGAATCTTGTTTGGCAGCCTGAGGGTTCAATGGGGGTCCCTGGCCTGGGGGTCCCTCGGGGAAGAATCGGGGAAATTCTAAATCGGGTATTTAGCAGCGATGGGGGCTGGGACATTGGTCGGAGCTCAGCCTAAGGTGTGGCAAGGTCGCCAGCTACCGGTGAGCCCGCTGCTGAGGGCGGGGTCTGCGGGGAGGGGCGCCCTCAGCCCCAGGTGTGCGCCGAGGGCGCGTGTGCTTTTGAGAGCCCATCCCGCACTCTATTTTGCAGACACCAGAGGCTGCGTCCCGGCCTCCCATGCAGCCCTGCCCAGCCTATGCCCTGGGCACCGGACCCTCTATGGCTTTTCCAGGGGCAGGAGGCAGGGCCTCCCCAGCCAAGGCCACTGAGGTGGAGGGGCGTGGCCTCTGGAGTTTGGTGGCCTACGGAAGGCGGGGCCTCATCCGGTCCCAGGCCCCGCCCCGCCGCCAAAACGCGCGCTAGGGCGCAGGCGCGGCACCGCCCTCCTCGGCCGAGCGCGTGTCGGACTTGAGCTTGACGAACTCCTTGGCCACCTCGTCGTTGCTGCGCTGCGACAGGATGCGCAGCACTGTGAGCCCCGTGTCGTCCATGTGGATGCGGCGGCCGAGCGGCAGCCAGCACGCGGCGCTCCCACGCTGGGCCAGCTCCCGCAGCTGCAGCACCGCCAGCCCCACGGTGCGGTCCTCGCGCGCGAAGCAGTAGTCCTTCACGCACACTTGCAGCTCGTAGCACTCAGGGCCCGCGTCGGCGCTCAGGGAGCTGTGGGCAAGGACCGGCTCAGCGAGAGGCCATCGTGAGCCTGGTCACCCGCCGCCACGCAGGGGAGCCACCGGCGAGCTGGTCACACCACACCGTCACACACGTTAGTAGTTCGTACTCCTGGGACGCTGGCAAGCGAAGCCCTTCCACGCTCCCCGGCCGTCCCCACGGGAAGCCCGCCCACTAGGCCACGCCCACCGGGAAACCCACGGACCAGGTCGGGTCGGCCAAGCGCGTCCCCTGGGGCGGGCGACTGAGCAAACCCCAAGGCGCAGCGGAGCGCTCTGCGGCGCCGCAGCCGCAGTTTGGGCGACACCTCCCTCCTGGGCACGCCCACCCTTTTCCGTTCCTTCCTCCTGGCCACGCCCCTTTCCGAGCCCTGCTGCACCCTGCCCTCTCAGTGCTCTGGGGTCGGCCACGCGGACCTGCTGGAGCCTGCTGTAGACCCCGTATACCGCTGCCGTGTGCGGCGGCCATCCGCTCCCTGCACCACACTCGGAGCCGACTACTATAAATGACAAAGCCGTTGACCGGAGCAGGCTGGCTCTTCTCAGGCCTCATCCCCTGTGACCTCACTCCCGTCCAGGATCCTCTCGCCCATCGCCCATCTTCTCCTCGTCCCTCCTACCTCTACCTCAAGCATATCGCCTCCCCAGGGGCCTACCTATCTGTAAAAGGGACCGTGACCCGAGAGTCCACCTTTGCACCGTGGCTATGACTTCGCCCACCACCCCTAGGCACCCCAGGTTCGTCCGAGGGCGTCCCCACCCGACTCACAACTGGAAGCTCTCGTTATACTTGGGCGCCCAGCTGTTGTTTTTGGATTTGGTGGCGAACTTGCGTTTCTTGTCGCTCAGCTGAGGTCCAACGATGTTGACCTCGATGAACGGACGGAAGATGCCAGAAGTCTGCCACTTGAGGTCATTGGCGGCCACCACTGTTGGGGTAGAGGGGACGTCTAGTGAGGTTCCCCGTGAGACGGAACCAGTCTCTGCTTTTCCAGGTCGGGAAGAGATTCCATTCCCACAGCAAGCCTCTTTGACAGGAGACTAGGGAAGTGGGACTAAGTCCTGGGGGCCTGTTGGAACTCCCGGATGCAGCCAAGCCTGATGCGATTTATTTCAGGATTTTTCCATTTTCTAAACCACCAAAGAAAAACAATTCCGTGCCCCCTGAGCTTCAGTGAGTCTGAAATTGGCTCCTTCCCTCATCGGGCCACTCACCCTTCACTGTGACCTTCTGTTCCCCAGTTCCCGGATGTGTGAACAGCTCCACGTGGACAGACACTTCACCTACAGGGTCTTCCACACCCGAGCCTGGGTGGGACAGGGAAGATGTCTGATATGAGCTAGGTTCTTTTCCACTCAACAGGAACGACCTCAGTCACCCCACCCCCAACCCCCGTACTGGCAGCCACAGGTCACAGAGGCACTGAAGGGAGGGGATGGCAGGCGCCACTAGGAAGCCAAGAGTTCTAAGTTGTGGGGTTTCCCTGCTTTGCTGTGTGACTTGAGGCAGGTCTCTTAACCTCTCTGAGCCGAGTACATCTGCCTCATTTTTCTCCTGGGCCCTCCCTGCCTTCTGAGCCTGCTTCAATGATTCTCTCTAGTTGTCAGTGCTGCCGACTCTTCCCTGGCTTTCTTCATCCCTCCTCTGTGTGTCCACCCAATTCTCTGACCTCACGCTAGCCCTGGGTGCTGAGACACTGAAAAGTCCTGACTGAAATGCCTTCAAAATTCATCTGGAATCTGCCCGTGTGTCTTCACAGACCTGGCCCAGCTCCTGCCCTGACACCCTGGGCTAGTAGCTTCCTGGATTTGGTTCTCCTCCCTCTCCGCCACCAATACAACAATAAAAACAGCCTAGCAGGCCCCATCCCTCCTCTGCTCAGGAGCCTCTGGTAGCTCCCATCTCAGGCTCCAAGGAAGCCTTTCTGTCTTCTTGCAGCGTCCCTCCCAACAGGCTCGTAGAGCCCAGGGCCCCACCCCAGCCTTTTGAAGTCTCCTGGAATGCCACACCCCCTGACATGACAGCTTCTGTCGCCCCTGTCCTGACTCCATCAAAAGCTGCCATGACTCAGAGAGGGCCAGAGAGTTACAGTGGTCCACACAGAGCATTTCCTGCCCAGGAAGCAGAGATTGCCCTCTGCGTGGTCATGTGACCCAGGCTGGGCTAATAGAAACGCAGTTCCTAACTTTTATTGTAAACTGACCACAAAGGTCCCCAAGGATGCCAACTGACCAACGGCTGTTGGAATCTGGATCCGGCTCTTCCTGATGTCAACAAACCCCTACTATTAGTTTCCTAGTTAACTAATTGGTCTGTTTGTGTGGTAGCCACGTGCACGGCTCCTCCCAGTCACCCTTAAGTGTCATGCTGATCATGCTGGGGACCCATGAGGGGTCAGCTTAAAAACTACTGCTTTAACTAGGCAAACCCGTGACTCGGAGCACGTCCACAGGGCCTGTGAACCTGTGGCCACCAGCACCTCTCCAAGCCACTCGTCCCCAGGCAGCTCTCCACCCCCAGGGTACCCCATGCAGGGCAGGGCAAGGAAGACAGTGTGGAAGGCAAGGTGATCGTCAGAGGTCCATCCAGGTCACCTGTGCTGGGCGGGAAGTGACGGGATCAGGGAACAGGGGGGCCAGGAGACTCCTGCGCTCATGAAGGGGGCACATGGCCCCAGCACTGTCCACCCCAGGCGGCCACCCATATCATCTCAGATACCTCCCCAGTCACATGCTCAGCCCCTCCCCCCAGGCCAATGCTTCAGCAAGCTCAGTCCGGGCCAGAGGTGGGGTGCTGGGGAGTTAGACATGGTGGGTTATGTCAAAGGTCAGATCAAGGCCCAGGCTAGTAAGAAGTGAGGAGGGGGCGGTGCCGACCCCCACCCCAGGTTTGCTGGCTCCACCAGGAAGGGGCTATCACACACCTCACCCTCCCGCCAGAACCGGAGTCCCTTGTAGGGGAAGGAGGCTGCCTTTACCCTCAGCCACAGGACATCTCAGGTGCCTGTGGGAAGGCTGGACAGGATGCATGTTCTTTTTGGGTGGGGGAGGGTGTTCCGCCAAGATTGGGGGGAACATGTGATCCCCCTACCTCAGCCTCCCAAGTACAGGGACCACAGGCCTGTGCCATCAGGCACACCTGGAAAAGTCCCTCTTGAGTATCCCTGTTTTCCGGGTGACAGGACAGAGGAGGATTCAGGCTACAGAAAGGCTGACCTAGGATCTGAATGCACGTCATATAGTTTTTTGCACTTTTCTGGGAATGGAAGCCGCAGGCCCAGCCTGGGGTGTGTGTGGCTTGGGAGAAAGGATGGGGACCCCTTCCCTGGGTGGAGCCAGCAAGCCGCCCTTCCCCGTGTGCGAGGACGCGGCGCCCCGTGCAGGAAGGCCGGGGTCTTACTAGCCAGGCGAGGGGAAGGGCGCAGGCACCGGGCACCGCGTGCGGGTGGCGGGCGGCGCAGGCACGTACCCATCTCAGGACAAACGTCTTCACTAAGGGTAAACCTAGTCCCCTTTCCACCATGGACTGACCAGGATGGACAGGGAGGGAGGAGGAGAGGAGGAGGGAGTGTGCGTGGCGGGGGCGGGGGAGGCGCAGAAAGGGGGCAGCGAGTGACAGGGTGAACAAGAGAGCAAGAAAGAAGGAGAGAGAGAGAGAGAGAGCTCAAGACCGAGAGAGAGAGAGAGAGAGAGAGAGAGGAGAGAGAGAGAGAGAGAGAAGGGGAGAGAGAAAGAAAGAAACGTCAGTGCAGACGGACGGACAGACAGACAGCCTCCCACTCCGGGAACACTAGGGACACCAAAAGCAACAAGAACAGGAGGGGAAACTGAGACTTGGGCTCTACCCGCTATGCGGGGTGTGGCGGGCCATGGATAACAACTTTCCCCGTTCCACCACAAAAACAAAGCCTGTGGACACCAACCTCTGCCCAGTTGGCACCTTTGGGGTAACTCTGAACGGGGGTCCCCAGAGAGAAAGATGCTAGGGACCTTGGAGCCCTGCCTCGTGGCCTCAGCTGCTGCACGAGAGCTCAGAGGGACAGGGACAGAAGCACAGACAGACAGAGGGGTCCAGGGAGATCTGAGGCCCAGCACCTCCCAGGTCCCCACACCTCCCAGGGCCAGGTCCTTGAGCCTCTTAGCCCTGTCAATCACTCCACATCTCTGACACAGCGCAGGGGCCCCGCCCCTAAGGAGGAAGCCACGCCTTGAATCCATGACATCAGATTTTACCTGAAGCTGTCAATCATCCCTTATTCTAAGGGTACCACAGATGTCCCGCCCCAGAGCCAACAACCAGGTCCTGCCCCTCGGTGACAGTCACTCCGTTGCCCTGGAAGCTTTAAATTCCTGGCTTCTGGAGTCAGTGAGGTCCCCTCCAACGGCTGTCAATCACCCCTTGTTTCTTTGTCTTGAAAGAATCGCCTTTTGTGCCAAGATGTCAGGTGCCCCGCCCCCATTAAGGTCTGTCCGCCATTCAGGGGAGGAGTCCGCTGCTGGGCGGGGAGACTCTGGCTGGCTCGGGAGGGAAGCGCCAGATTCCCTTACCCTGCGCTGACTGTGTCTGCACGAAGGTTTTGATGAGCAGGTCAGTGGCCTGCGTGTAGAGCGACAGGGCGTAGCGCAGGGACTGGAGGTCCGGGCTCTTCTCCAGGAAGGTCTTCTTGAGGCCCACGCCCCCCGCATGGAAGTATTGCTGAGGGCGGACACAGTGAGGCTGCAGATGGCTCCCAGCGCCTTTGCTAACAAGCGCCTCTCACTCTCCCCATGTTCACCAGACCACAACTGCCCCAGGACCTTTGTATTTACTGTGTGCACAGGTGGAAAGTCCCTCCCTGCTTGCTACCTATATACTTTACTTGTAACTCCTATGCATTCTTCAAATCCCACTTCCTCATGCCCTTTCTTAGATCCCTCTGGGGCCTCTCCTTTACCTTAATGGTGTCCAGGGCCAGTTCAACTACGGCGCACTGCTTCGGGGTCAAGCTCTTGGCTTCTTCTCGAACCATGTGATCCTGTGGGGGTAGTGGGGAGAGGTCAGGTGGGCAAAGCTTTGACAGAGTCTTTGCCTTCCGTGTTGTGGATAAGTGGTCTTTATCCTTGGTCCAGCCCAAGCTGAGCACCTCTTTCCGTTATACTCAAGGGTATTTTAAGTGGGGTTCAGGTCTGGGAGCAGGGATTTTGCCTCTTGATCTGTCCCTAGCCATTGTCCTGAGATCTTCTGCCCCCTCACCTTGAGTTTGGACAGCTGGCCCAGTTCCTTCGCGGCATTGAAGATCATTTGTGTCCCCTGTGGAAAACAGCAGGCGATTTGGGTGAGAGTGTGCCTTCTCTAAATGGTTCCCCCACACTGAGCGACCGAAGGCTAGCCGCCACCTCGGTTCCTGTCCAAAGATTCAAGCAATGCTTGAGTCCTATGGACAGAGGGATCAGGAGCCCCAGTGAGATCAAGGGGCACATGGCATCTTGTTGCAGGAGAAGCCTAGTTCTCTGGGGACACTGTCCACCCTCTCATACCAACCATGGCCTCACAATTGGAAGACATAAGAGAAACAGGCACGTGGCAGCCATGTATGTCGTGGTGAGGGAGGACAGAGATGGGCTTGTTAATGACAATAGGTCCTGGGCCAGGCTGGGCAATCAGGACCCATCCTGGGGGAGTTTCCTTTCCCCCAGCCATACCTTCTGGGAGGACTCCAGGGACCCATCCTGGGGGAGTTTCCTTTCCCCTAGCCACCCCTCCTGGGGGGACTCTTTGAGCATCAACTCACATCCTGGTGTCTGCGTATACTCCACCTATCCCCAAGAGTCTCACCAGACGCCACCCAGGCAATGTGCCCTGGATAGGTGACTTAACCCCTCAGAAACTGCTACCCCTTTAGATAGTGTCACAGCCACCCAGTGGCCTTGAAGGGTAATCACAGGTAATGCCTGGCAGACTGGGCTCCAGCCTGAGATCCTCCCTGAGCTGTAAGGCTTCAGGCCTTGCCTTCTCTGGGCCTGGTATCTCCATGCTAATTAGCAACTTGTGGGAGGGAGGGCTGGCTCCACTAGCTAAGGTGGCCCAGGGCTGTCTGGTTGGGTTGTTTAGAGGAGGATGTTTGGAGACACCACCAATCTTTGTGACTTCAGGCTGTCACTCTTTCTGTGTGTTATTCTGTCCTGCTGGGGATGGAAAGCAGGACCTCACACACACATCAGGACAGAAGCCACAGTCTGGCCCTGTGCGCGATCAGCAAGCACACTTCTGCTGGACCACACAGACCACAGCCCTGTAGTCTCCAGGGTTCCTGAGGCTGTGAACCAGAGTTACCAGAGCCCACCTGCCTGGGCCTCAGTTTCCCTTGTTGCACCCACCTGTTCTCCAGTGCAAAGCAGGGCCCCTCTTGAGCACCCTTCATGCCTCCCACTACCCTTCCCTACCCACCAACAAGCAAGCCAGACAGACAGAGGAAGAAGAAATAACAGACAGGGCCACAGGACGCCCCCGACGGCACGGACCACAGAGAGGAAGGGGCAGGGAGGAAGAGGGATAGGGTGGGAGCCAGACAGACAGTGAGAGGCCAGGCTTACGTCTGAGTGGCTTGGCAGTTTCACCCTGCCCTGTGGAGAGAACCAGGCGGAGGTCAGAGTTCTGATGGGTGTTGGGAGGATACTTAGTGGGACTTCCCTGCCCCTTGGAATCACAGGGTGAGCTCCCCCCATTCACTGAAGTGGATACTAGCTCCTCCCAGCTGAGGCATCTACCTTTGTCTCTGAATGTAGACTCCTTGACCACTGCACATATTGGGAACCCCTAGAAGGCTATAACCCCAACTACAGGAGAAGGCAAGGAGAGAGGGCTCCAGGTCTCTGCACCCTCCACATGCCCCAAGCCAGTGTTGGGGAGGCCTGAAATGCCCTGATTAGCCTTGCAAGCTCCAAGTGCCTTCACAAACACACACACGAATGCGCATGTACTTGCACATATATGCACACACTCACACACATGCATACATACACATAAACACACTTGCCCACACTCACACACACAGACACCCATGCTTGCACACACAGACACACACACAGAAGAGCACATGTATGCACACACACGCACACCCTCACACATATGCATGCATACACAGACATACACATGCACGCTCAGACACACATACCCCAGGCAGACACACACATGCATACAAGCAAGCACACGTATGCATACAGACACACACTCTAGACCTGCAGACAGATTCCGCAGACACTTAATTAAAAAAAAATCATCAATTAATACATTCAGGAACCTCTCAGGCCAGAACACACAACATGCTTTGCATGATCACATGCAAACTCACACATCGTTGACAGCACCTGAATGCACACAGCACCCCCAGGAGAGCTGACTGGAAGTGGAAATACCCTATGCTCAGGTCATAACACCAAGACCCATTCAGGGCATGGAGAAGCCCTGATACATTCATTCTGTGCAGTCAAAGTTCACAATCAAGCAACTGCTCACATTTGGTCCCAGCCCTAGCTCCTTACAATAAACATATGTTAAAGCAACAAGAATCCATGTCTTAGTGCAGGGCCATCCAGCATGTGGTCCTTGGAGGAAACCACGGTAGTCAGCTGAGTCTGGGGCTGAGGGACATAAGGACAGTGCACATACCCCCCCTTCCCACCCCTCCAGAAAAGGATCTGAGCTCTAACTTTCAGTTCCTAGGGACCAGATCAAGAGCCGCCTCCCACTGTGGCCTCAGCTGATCTTCCTATCCAAGTAGGAACCATAGGAGCACTCGCGCCCGGACACCCGGACCCCGGCAAGCCGAGGCCCTCATTACCTTTTCTAGGCCCTTGCCATGTTTTCTCAAGAGGGTGCCCTGCAGAGACAATGTCATATGGAGGTCAGGACCCAGGAGAATCAGTCTCCCATGTGGGGACAGGGGGCTGCACTGGTTAAGGGTTGGGGAATGCTGGGGAATGTGGAGGCTCACTTCTAAGAAACAGAGGAGGGAGAGGAAGAAGAGAAGGTGTATGATTCAGAAAGAGAAAAAAGGGAGGAGGGGGAGAGGAGGAGTGAAAAAGAAGGCAGGGAGGAAGCTAAAAGACAAGGAGGGAGGATGAAGAAGAAGAGAAGGGAGAGACAGATGTGTGTGTGTGTGTGTGTGTGTGTGTGTGTGTGTGTAGAAATGTAGAAATTTGGGAAGAGAAGGAAGAGAATGGATGGGAAGGGAGACAAAAGGTGAAGGAAGAGGATACGGGAGAAAGAGGAGGAAGAGGAGGAGAAAAGAGAGCCAGGACCAGAGTCAGCACAAGTCCAAGGTAAACACCACTGTCAAAATATAAGCCATTTACATTTGGTGTACAAAGAAACCTGCTGGATCACAGGTTAGTTGAAGCATCCCCACTCTGCCCTGAGACAGATCCAAACTGAAGCTGTCTCAATCTACGGCCTGAGCCAGAAAGCTGCTCTCCTAGCCTTGGCTTTCCCCATCAGATCAATTGCATTGAGACTTCCCTTAGAGGGCTGACATGAAGGTGAGCTGTGACAGACACTGGCCTGTCCAAGCTGTCAGTGCCTTGTGTTCCTTTACAGTTTGCCTACAACTACAAGCTGGGCACTGGGCATGATGCCACGCTGTGCCCTCTGGGAATGTGAGTTTGGGACAAAGTAAAATGTCATGGTGGCCTCTCCTGACCCTCAGAGAGTTGTTGGAGGGGATGGTTTTCCTGAGGGGTCTCCACTGGGCAAGCATTTGGATGCCAAGATTGCTCCCTTTCACTCTGGCAGCTCAGTGAGCCCTTGTATGAAATCCCAATTCTTTCCCATTCCCAGAAACCAAGGTTGGGCATTTCTCCCAGGTCATGGTCTAGACAAAGTGGTGACACCCAGACTGCATACAGAAAGGCTGGGTCTTCAGATGTGTCAGTGTGCTTGTGCACTAGGGAAGCATGGAGGTGCACTGAGCAGACCGCATGGCAAACACTTGCATGTGAAAGGGAGGACCCCACCCCCCTCTTTCTACCCTTGAGACTGGATTTCTACCCTTTGGTGGATTTCCATCCAAAGCACAGGGACATGATTAAACAGGAAGGAGTAGGCTGACAGTGTGGATGTAGGTCTTGCTTTTGAGTCTGGGAGAGGCGTGGCCTCCAAGCCCCACCCCTCTTAATGCCCCACCCACCAGCACACAGATACAAAGTCAAGATGAGGGGAGGAGGGGGCACTGGGAGGGTGGGGGGCGGCCCCAATCCAGACACACAGCGAACGAAAGACGACGATGGACAGACAGACGGACAAACGGGTCTCTACTTACAATCATCTGCCAGCCGGAATGGGGGCAGGGTAGGGAGAGGGGAATAAGTCACTGTGAGTGGCTCTGGGCAGACACTGAGCTGATGTCGCCCCGCCCCAGCCCTAGCCTTGCCCAGAGGACCGGTCCTGAGTACCCAGCTACAGGTACCTGGCTGAGGCCTCTCCACCCTCCTCCACGTGAGGCCCTGTCCCCTAGGCATCCTGCTGCCAGCCCTGGGCCCTCGGCCTGGATTATTAGTGTCTCATGTGCAGGCACCACTAGCTTTCACCTCAGATGTCCCCAAGCTCCTCACTGGATGTTAGGGAGACACTGAGCTTGAGATAGCTATGGGCTCTGATGCCAGCTTTCCAATTGTTCCCAATTCACCCTTGGCTACACCTGAGTGACCCCCCTGAACCCCAGTGTCATTATCCTGACCCCCTATCTTGAAGGCACCACGTTCCCTGGGCTTCCCATGTCCTGGGACATGAGCCTCACCGTCTGGTCAGTGAGTGGTGGCAGGACGATGGTCTTCTCCATGGTGTTCATCACCAGTTTCCAGAGCTCCTTCAGCACACGCTTCAGAACCGTCTTCTCACAGATTTTGGCAAACAGTGTGAGGCTGGGGATGAGGCTGAGGTCAGAGAGAGGGGCCACCACCCTCCGCGCACAGGTGTGCCCCAACAGGGTGAGCACCGCATGCTATGTTCAGGGAAGGCAGACAGCGGGGCTCTGGGGAAAATGCCCAGGCCACATGGTGAAGGCGTATGGCTACAGAGTGCTCAGGGAAGACATGGTAGGATATTCAAATATGAAAGAACACTGTGTGCACTCCAGTGAAATGGGAGGCCTGAAGACCACAACACACAAGGGGCTGAGGTCACAGCCGAGGACAAGGGTGGACAAGACAATTCCTGAGGACTTAGGTGAGTAGAAGAGAGGGACAATCTGCCAACATGGGCTTCTCGGCTGACCCCTCACCTACCAACTATACCCCCAAATTCACCACCATTATCCCCCAAACCAGCCAGTTATCAATGGACTATCCATTCACCTATTACTCGCCCATCACAAATCCATTCACTCACCCACCTCTCATCCACTCATCCACTCATCCACTCATCCATCCATCTATCCACCCATCCTCCCATCCATCCATCCATCCATCCATCCATCCATCCATCCATCCATCCATCCATCCTCCCACCCACCCATCCATCCATCCTCCCACCCACCCATCCATCCACCCATCCATCTGTCCATCCATCCATCCATCCATCCATCCATCCACCCATCCACCCATCCATCCACACATCCATCCATCCATCCATCCATCCATCCATCCATCCATCCATCCATCCACCCACCCATCCATCCACCAATCCATCCACCCATCCATCCATCCATCCATCCACCCACCCACCCACCCACCCACCCACATTCCAAGGACCTGTCCACCATATTTTAAACATCTGCCCTCCATCCACCCTTGTAAGTATTTCGTGACCCTGCCCGCCTCATGCGAATGCCACCCTCCATCCACAGGAACAGCAGCAGGCACCCATGTGCCTGGCCGTCTTCCCTACACCCCCTCCTTCTCTGCGCCCCCCTCTACTCTCCACCCTCACTTGCTGTCCAGAAGATCCATGATGGGCTGCAGCACGTTGTCTGCATCCTGGGCCACGCTGCTGCAGGCACTGGCGGGCACGTTGCCTGTGCCCTTCACCTGGCTCAGGATGTCACCCATCTGTCTGACACACTCCTCAATGTGTGGCTGGAAGCTGTGAACACAGCAGAAAGGCACTCAACCCAGGCTCTGTGTCCCAGAGGGTGAGGCCACCCAATGAGGTTCTGTGGTCTGGGTCCCAGCACTAGGAGGCAATGGCACCAGGGAGCCCAGATGGTGGACATTCTCGCCTGAGACTCCCTATGTGACTGTCGGGCCAGAATTCCTTCTCTTCTGGTCCACTGAGGCCGGGATTGGTTAAGTGACTCATAGGTGCCCCTTTGGCCATGCTGTGGGAAAGCTACGTCTGAGTCTGCGCCTGGCACGAGCCAAACATCGGAAGCCCAAGGCTTGGGGTCTTCCCTGCTCACATGTCCCCATCCCGGAGATTCCACCCACCTGGTGGCAAACACGTGGCTGAGTTCATCCAGGACATTGTTGAGTTTCACCTGCAAGTCCTTCAGGGTGCCACTGGCCTCGGCATCCAGCTGAGGGGGGCAAGGTCGTTAACACCCCTGTCTTCTCATACCCCTGGGAAAGTATCTAAGGGACTGGGGAAGGCACAGGCACAGGCAGCCAGGCCTCCCTGGTAGGACTGCACTTCACACCCAAGCCTGTTGTCTACGATCTCAGGAGTGGGGTGATGAGGCAAGCCCATCTGAAACTCATCCTGATGCCTACCTCCTTCCCGCCCATCGCCTCGAACATCTTCTCCAGCTGCACCCGGAGCTGCTGTGTGTTGTTCATGAGGATGCAGGGCTGTGGAGGGCAAACATCAGACTGGTGACTTCCCACCACCTCTTGGGGATCGGGAAGTAGGGGTTCCCTAGGGGGTGGGAGGCAATAGCCCTGGACATGCATGAGCTGGGGGAAGGATCCCTCGGACCAGATGGAGCAAGCCTGCAGAAGTATCCCCCTGGGGTAGGAAGGTCATGAAGGGGCGGAGAGGAGTCCTCATAATTCTCCTGACTCTGCTGAAGCTACACACTGGAAGTGACCCATGACACCAGGGGAAGCATGTCCTTACCCTCATGTGCACTCATAGGACTCCCCCAGACTCACAGGCTCAGTCACACAGACATGCACACACTCATGATCCAGGCCTCAACACAGCTATACCAAATAGTTAGATGGTTGGGCCCAGAGACACACAGCTGTCACCCCAGCACTCAGAAGGTGGAGACAGGAGATCTGGGATTCAAGGCCAGCCTGAGCTACATAGCCAGTTTGAGGCTAACTGGGTCAAGTATCTAAGTGGCACTGAGCCTGTGATACATAGCAAGTTCAAGGCCAGTTTGGGCTACACATTGGATTAAAGGCCACCTTGACCTACATAGCAAGACTGAGGGTAAACTGGGCTATATAGGAAGCTCAAAGCCAGTCTGGGCTTCATTTTGAGAGCTTGTCTCAAAAACCCAAACAAGTAGCCATCACCACAACAAACCCTACACAACCAGACACAGATAGACAGATCAACACAGTCCACACAGTCACACATGAGCTTGGAGATCCATGTCCCTTCAGTGGAGTTTGTTGTCTCAAGCCTCATGTCAGAGCCTGGTACCCTGGTCCCTGAGGGAAGCTGGGTGGGGCCAGGAGGGATGGGGGTGGGAGAGGGCAGGACGGGCGCCCCCAGGTCACCACTTTCTCCTTCTCCTTGGAGCAGTAGGAGGCGAAGTCCTTGGAAACAATGTCCGCGTACTGGAGAAGCACATTGCTAATGGTCTGAGGACAGAGAGAGGGGTGAGAGGGTTGCAGCCTCAGGGACCCTGACTGCCACCACCATCCACTGCAGACATCACGGTGACTGAGCTGCACAGTATGTGGGGTGGACATCAGGATGACTGTCCATCCCAGATGACCACTAGGACCCAGAGGAGACCCCTGCCCCATGAAAGAATTGTTTTCTGTACACTATCTTTTTATTTTAATTTTTTTTATTTTTACTTTTTGAGACTAGGGTCTTGCTGTGTAGCTGAGGCTAGCCTGGCCTCTCCAGAGCAAGGATTAAATATCAGCGCCACCATGCCCACATGCCTTTCTCTGCTACAAAGGAACCAACCATGGTATTAAGCCCACAGTCACCAGCATGACCCTATCCCACATGAAATCCAGATGCCAGTGCTTAATCCCAGCTGAATGGCCACCCAGTGAAACTCACCCAGAGCCAGCTGTGCCTGTGTGAGCCCTTGGAGAGTCATACAGCAACTCAGAACCCAGAACACTCACCTCCCCACTGTTTTGACCCTCGGAGTTAGTAATTGCCTCTGTTTTCTCTGTTTGTCTACTTATGCCTTGTTTTATTTAACTTTTCTTTGTGTGGTGCTGGGAATGAGCTCCTGGGCCTCGCACACACCAGGCAAGTTCTCCACACCCAGTCTCTCATCTCCCGCCTCCCAAACAGAGACTTTAAAAATGTAGTGAATTTCTGTGTGAAGTGGGGTGGCTGAGTGTCAGCATGTATGCCTGTGTGTGTCTCGTGCGTGCTTGTGTAGGACAGATGACAGACTTGTAGGAGTCAGTTCTCTCCTTCCAGTCTATGAATCCTGGGGATTGAACTCAGGTCTTTAGGCTTGGTGGCAAGCACCTGCACCCACTGAGCCATCTCACTAACCCTCCTCAACTTTTTTTTTTTTTCCCTAGAGTTATCAGGAAAGCCTCATTTTGCTCTTTTGACTTTTTTTTTTTCAGGTGCTGAGGATGACACCAGGGCCTTAGACACACTGGATCATAGCTTCCCTGCTAGACTGCTTCCTATCCCTCAAGTTCTGTATTGACTCTAAATTCCCCCGTGTGCCCTGAAGCAACCTGACTTCATCTTCAGTGGCATGGTTCACCTCCACTGTCATCCAATTGAATTCCATGCCTAGCCTCAACCCCATCTCATCTCGCCTCACCCCTCCCAGGTCACACCTTGGCAAAGCGCCGCATGTAGTGGCCCACAATCTGGGGGTCAGGACACTCCAGCTTCTTGATGATCTCGAAGCTCTGGTTGAGCTGGGAGAAGACGTCCACTACCGAGCAAGAGAACAGGGCATGCTCCGATGTCTGCTGGAACTGCAGGGAGAAGACAGCATCAGGCTGGGTCATGACATCAGGTTAGACCATGGCATCACTCCTTGAGGGCCCAGGCCACAGGAGGGTGGAGGCCTTGGGCTGGATGATGACCCCACATCCCATGATTGCTGAATGTGTGGAGGAGGTACCCACAAGCAGGACAGGACAGTGGACACTAGCAGTCCCTGGCCACCACCCACGGCCTCCTCACCCCATCCTTCTTGTCCCGCTCGAGTGCGCCATGCAGGAAGTCCCGGGACACCTCCTCATTCTCATCTAACCACTGGATGACGAAGGGCTCAAACCACCTGTAAAGGGACAGATCAGCTGGGATGCGCCTGCTTCCGACCTGGTACTGGGGTGCAGGCTTCGAGACAGGGTTTCTCTGTGTAGCCCAGGCTGTCCTGGAACTCACTCTGTAGACCAGGCTGGACTCAAACTTAGAAATCCAACTGCCTCTGCCTCCCAAGTGCTGGGATTAAAGGCTTGCCACCACTGCCTGGCAAGGGGTACAGGCTTTAATCCCAGCTCTTGAACGTGGTGACCTGAGCTCTGTCCCCAGCAACAATCCCCCAATGGATTTGTCACTTCAGTTTGGTTAGTTACTTTAATATAGTTATTTACATATGGGGTCAATGTAGTGCAGGCTCATCTCACACTCACTAGGTACTTGAGGATGACTCTGAAGAGGGAGGAGAAGGAGGAGGGAGGAGGAGAAGGAGGAGGGAGGAGGAGAAGGAGGAGGGAGCTTTCAGCTTTCACAGGCTGAAAATATTTTAATCATGGCTTTTGTTTCAATATGGTGGGTTCCTTCTAGCCCTGACCCTCTGAACCATGTGACACAGATGCTTCCCCAGCACCAGTGGGGAGCCGGGCCCACACCCTGAGCATCGGGGAGTTGGGATCTGACACCCATAGGCCCTGGAATCCTCTTGGGTCTTGGTGACATTCTGGCCCAGGCCTGGTGGGAGTCGGGAACTTACGCAGGGTACTCGGGCACACGGTCCTTGAAGGTGGGCAGCTCGGCCACGTACTCGTTGTACAGCCACTTGACCTTGAAGTGCAGGTTCATATAATCTGCGCTCTTACACAGCCGGTGTTTGTCGTGTTCTGCCAGGAGGCACAGAGGCTCAGCCGGGAGGTTTGGAGCCTCCACAGCCCCAGCGTGGATGCCCATCTGACTCAGAGACTCACCCTCCATGGCGTACTTCATGTCTTGGGCAAACAAGCTCCACATCACCTCAGCACTAATCTTCCCCACATTCAGCTCCTGGGGAAACCTGGGAGATGGATGGAAACCCGTGCTAGGACAGACTGGGGGTGTCCAGACCTTCCGCACCTATCCACACACACACCTATCCACACACACACCTATCCATACACACACACACACCTATACACACACACACACCTATACACACACACACACCCATCCACACACACCTATTCACACACACACACAC